AGTATCTAACATATACTAATAATGATAAAAAATAATAATGTTAATAATAACGAAGATATTATTGATATAAAAATAAACTTGGATTGTCTCCTGGGTGTCTGTTTGTTTATTTGTATCCAACAAACGTCAAAACGGCTGAACCGATCGGGCACAATTTGTGTGGCAAGAAAGGGTTATGGATAGTCAAAAATGAAAAATTGTTTAAAAAGAACGTCGACATTGATAAATTTTTAAAAATGCACCAATTTTAGAATGAAAAGTCCCCGAAAAAAAATAGTAATAATGAAAATTATAACACATAGAAAGATTAACAATGCTTTCAATGTGGCAGGAGATACGGAACGTGGCTCGTGGGGAAGCCTCTAAAAACCATTTATGCACCAATAACAGGCTCGAAGGGGAGTTCCCCCCTTGCCCCCCCCCTCTTTCCTTCTTCTTTTATTTCTCTATCTCTCTCAGTTTCGACACTTTTCCCGTGAAACTTCTTGTCTTTTAACCCTATCTCTGCTGGGGTACTTGAAAACCAGGATATGCTGCCTGGGGGGGAGGGCCCTCTAAATCCCATGTTTGATGTCAAATTGACCCCCCCCCCCAGCAGGAATAGGGTTAAGAGAGAGTAATTTTCAAGGACGTTTTAAAAACCTTCATAGAACCATCAACCATCAAAGTTAGCAGTCTAACTTTTTAATAAACTAATCTTGATGGCTATGAGCATGTATTTTACCTCAATGCCTGATTCTTCAACCCAGGAAACAGAGATTTGAGTTAAAGCTTAGACTTTAACTCCACTTTTGCCATCCAGATGTGAAGATATAGTCGAGATTCGAAGTTGAGTTATACACTGCGATAATCGAACCTTAACTGAGTGTAAACACCAACTTTTTAACCAATTTTGAAGTCCACTCACCAACTTGGAGAAATATGATTTCAAAAACTCGATTTAAACTCGACTTTTTAATCTCAGTTTGTAATTAGTTGGTTCAAAAGTCAGCGTTAACGTCCAGTTTTGGCACAACCATTGCAGGTTTTAACTCTCAAATTCAGGGAAAACCTTTTCTTGTGTCTTGCGAAAGTATTAGGACATTTCATAGTTAACAAAATCAAAAATAAGACATTTTAAAGATAGGACATTTCAGAGACATTTGTGTAATAAATGCACAACTTCGTCCTAAAAAATAAAAAAAATAAGATGTTTCAATGAAAAATGACGATTTTCTGAAGAAGTTGGCTCTACAAGAAGACTGAGGTTTCTTGGAACTCTTTGAACTGATAGTTTGTGCAAAGTTTATATCTGGCAGTACAAATAAAGTAAAGGGACAAATATAGCGTAATTTCAACTAACCCTCCATGCAAAGATAGCAATATCTGATTTAAAACGCGCGATATCCTTAAAACTTTAATCTGATCAAAAATGTGAAAGATTCGTGTCGTTTTTCTGACTCAAAAAGTGTTCATTTCTGTGTATTTTCTCCCATGTTTCTTATAAGTAAGAAATGCATAAGTGTGGCGGAAGACGATCTGAGGAGAGAAGCCGGATACTCAGACGCGGCAAGAGGAACTAAATAATTCTGCCACGTCACCTTGATATATTTTGATCTCTTAAATTTAGTTTTTAAATTTAGTTAATAAAGTAAATTATTTATCTTCGGTTGTATAAAATTGAGCGTAGCCAAATAAGTCAGTTTTAAACCACAAAGGAAAATAGACAGTTTTAATAAACATACACATGAATATCTAATAATTAATTAGACAAAGCCTTTAAGGGCACCGTTGTAAATCTGGCGTTGCCATTTTTGCATGAAGGGTCATTTAAGATTACGCTTACAGTCCCTTTAAACACTAAGTAGGTGTAGATTGCAAACTGAACAAAAAGTGGTTTAACTTCTGCTTAATCAAACTAATCTAGAAAATTGAATTTAATCATTTAACTCTTTATAATTTAACTTCATTAAATATCAACCATGTCCATTGGACAATATCTAACTGTTAAATAAGAAATATAGATCAACTGAAGACATTAAATAATTGTACAGCTGGCTTGGGCGATTTTCAAAACATTCTGTAGAAATTTGCAAACACTGATTTATCTTCTTTGACCGGATATTTCTGTTATAATTCCTTGAATGATTTGCCCTTTTTGACCGGATATATCATTCTGTTATAAAACACTCAGACTGAGTTATCCTCTTTGACCGGATATATCATTCTGTTATAATTCCTTAAAATGAGTTATCCTTTTTGACTGGATATATCTTTGTGTTATAATTCGCTTAAAATTATTTATCCTCTTTGACTTAAACATGTGCATTTTGTTCATGTACATTTTGTACATTTTTACTTTGAATTAATTGATAAAATTCTCATTGATTTTTGCGTGAAAGCTAGCCTGTTTTAGACTGCACGCATTTGATTTTTATACCTATAATCACCAACCTTAAACATTACAGCCTTTTAATGCTAAACCATCAATAAAAAAAATAAAAAAATGAAGTCTTTTCAGCAAACTCAAATTTTCTAATATTAAAGGACTAAGATATCTGGGCAACATTTTCTTCTGATTTTTTGTGTAAGAGAAGTGTGCGGTCCAATTTAATTTGAAGAAATCAACCCTATTCCCTTGTACTCTTTGTCCAGGTGAATGTACGCAGAAATTACGTCATATTTTCCTGAATTACTTTATTTGCAAAGGTTGGTTTGCAAACTAGCAAAAAGTGGAAAAACTAGTTTTAATCGAGTTTTACGGCTTGCATTAGCAACTATTGTATTTCTTGACCAAAATCTTAACATTTCCCATGCGTTATAATTTTCATCTTGTACAAATGAAGAAAGGAATTTGTTTGTTTTTAATCTTTGCGAAGAAACAATCTCAAGAACTGACGAGGGTCAACCCAGACCGAAATATATTTTCAATAAATGTGGAACTAACATCTACTTTTTTACTCTACAGAGGTTTGGTCCATCACCATCACTGAATTTTAAAGAAAGGAATTGAGTCCTTACCGCAACTCAAATGTTTTATTCCTTGGATCTTAGCAACCTGATGGTGAATAGAGCGTCACTGGAGACAGTTAATTTTTTTGTTGTAAAATGGAACTACGAAGTTATGCCCTGATGTTACATATAAGGGGGAATTATACTGACATTAAAGAAATTCATGTTTAAGGACTAGGGTGTTCCAAATATTCATGTTTGAGGACTAGGGTGTTCAAAATATTCATGTTTGAGGACTAGGGTGTTCCAAATATTCATGTTTGAGCACTAGGGTGTTCCAAATATTCATGTTTGAAGACGATGGAGTTCCAAATGTTTAAACGGACCATATACAGTATCTTAAAATATGAAAATATAAATAAATTTTTGCAGATTTTAAGATAATTATATGATAAGTCTAAATATCAAAATTTTAACTGTTTATTATCAAATACATAATATTTAGTTTTTTGTAGAATTGTTTAAAAAATGACCGGGGACACTTGAATCTATGAAAAGCTCGAAAAAGATTTAGCTAGAGCTATGTATACTGTATCAACAATATTGCAAAACAAATTATTTCATTATATTCAATGCATGTCACCGCTTGTAGCTTTTAATACCAAGGCATGCAAAATTTCGATCTAAACTTAATAAAAAAGATATCAAGTTTGGTTTGCCGTTCATGACTCTAATTTAGACGTAAGGAAATGTAAAATGTATGCTAAAATATTTGTGAACAAAAATTTAACCTCTTAGCTACTATTTTTTTTATCTTACGCCCAAGCATGTCTGTGTGTCCTTTGTTTGTTTATTTGTTTGTATCCAATAAACGTCAAAACGGCTGAACCGATCGGGCCCAAATTATTTGTGGAACCTTGCGTGACCAATTGGAAGGTTTAAGGATGATTGAATTTTCAAAGATTTATGTTTAAAAGTTTTTTTTTTTGTAAAATATTCAAAATGCACAAAAAAATATTATGAAATCCGCCTATTTTTGTTTGTTTTTGTTTTAGATGCTCATAGATAAAGCTACTTCTAAATAATTTATCAAAAAGATGAGTTATGAGTAAAACCTTGAAAATTTAATTTTTACCGTGATAAATTTCCTTTAATTCGTCGTGAAATATTTTTAAGGTCACACAGTCTCACCATTTTAAATTTCATATGGTATCATAATATTAGTTATTTATAAAATAAATTTTCCTGAAAAAAATCAACTTCAAAATTAAGCGAGAGTGACTAATAAGAGTACATTCAGACTGAACTGAACTCCGTCGAAATCCATATAAAAAACAAAAATTAAGACAAAAAACCGATGAAAATAGGGCCAGAATCAGCTGTAAGGGTTCGCTGACTTTAAAAACATTTTATTTAAACGCCCATTTTTTCACATTTGTAAATCTATATAGATAAATATGGCTTGTCGGACAAAATATAATCTAAAAAGGCGACACCTTCCAGATAAAGAGAGAATTTAAGTCCAAAAACTTTAAAGCACGTTGTGCCAAAATAATAGAGTTATAGGTAATTATTTAAAACGTTTGTGTACTTGTCTTATTTCAATGGATATCTCTATAGATCAAATAAGATGTGAAACAAAGCAGAAGTAAAAAAAATCAAGTAGATTTCTATTTTATTTTCATTTCAATTAAAAAAATGTTTTTTGGAAATATCCTAATTTCTTTGGAGAAAATCCGGTAACCAATCAAAACTTTAAATACGTGATAGGATGTACGTACAGCTGATTTAACTTTATAGCACGATGATTATTAATTTATAGCACGTTCATTATGAAATTCACGATGAAGTGAGTAAGAATGATAAAGTACACAATAGTTTGATGAAAAGAATTATGAAATCCACAAACTTTTTTTTATACTATACAAAGAGAAGCTGCTCACAGATAAAGCCACAATCAAAAGTTAAANTATCTATCTATCTATCTATCTATCTATCTATCTATCTATCTATCTATCTATCTATCTATCTATCTACTTATCTATCTATCTATCTATCTATCTATCTACCTTTATCTGGAGTATGTCCCTGATCCTGTTAGCCTGATCTCTAAACCTCCCTAGGCTCTCTTCTAGCTCAATACACCTGAAATATAAATAAAATCATCATTTAAAAATGTAAAACGTTAATTTAATATTTTTCTCCCTGAGCATTATTTTTCAATGTACCATTTTTTCTTTTACTATTCTGCCAAATTTCAACGCTATTGCCATCCTCAAACTGTTTAACGTTTCTCATAGTTTCAACATGAAAACATGTAAAGGCTTTAAAAGTTGTGACAGGTTGTTAAGTTTTAAACAATGATTTCACGACAAAAAGATTTTACGTACGATCATAATCATAAAATAAAATGAAAATCGGCAACGTAAAAAAAGCAAAACACTTTGTAAAACGTGACGGATACGATTGATTTCTAGAAAAGGAATGTCCAGAAAATACTAGAAAAAGAATTTCCAGAAAATACTAGAAAAAGAATGTCCAGAAAATACTAGAAAAAGAATGTCCAGAAAATACTAGAAAAAGAATGTCCAGAGAATGGATTGGAAATATTTTTTGCAGAGCTTTGCAGTTGGTATATGCTATTCCAATATTATCTTCTTTTATCCTCCATACTCCATTCCCAATCCTCCTATTTTCATCCTTCTATTCTACACCCTCCATTCTCCATCCTACTATCCTCCATCCTCTGATTTGCTATCCTCCATCATTATATCTTCTTATCTTCCATCCTCCTATCATTGATCCTCCTATACTCCATCCTCCAATTTCCTATCCTCCATCATCATATCCTCTTATCCTCCATCCTTCATTCTCTATCCTCCTATCTTCTATCCCCCTATCCTCCATTCTCTATCCTCTTATCTTCTATCCCCCTATCCTCCATCCTCTATCCTCCTATCCTCCATCCTCCTATCCTCCATGCATCCTCCTATCCTCTTATCCTCCATGCATCCTCCTATCCTCCTATCCTCCATGCATCCTCCTATCCTCCTATCCTCCTATCCTCCATCCTCCTATCCTCCATCCTCTATCCTCTTATCCTCCATCCTCCTATCCTCCATGCATCCTCCTAACCTCCTATCATCCATGCATCCTCCTATCCTCCATCCCTCTATCTTCCATGCATCCTCCTATCCTCCATGCATCCTCTTATCCTCCTATCTTCCATGCATCCTCCTATCCTCCATGCATCCTCCTATCCTCCATCCCTCTATCCTCCATGCATCCTCCTATCCTCCTATCCTCCTATCCTCCATCCTTCTATCCTCCATGCATCCTCCTATCCTCCTATCCTCCATCCTTCTATCCTCCATGCATCCTCCTATCCTCCATGCATCCTCCTATCATCCTATCCTCCATGCATCCTCCTATCCTCTTATCCTTATTCTCTCCTAACCAATTATATTATTTCCTTTATCCAAATAATACTTTACTTTATATTTGTAATGAATAAATTATTTTATTGTGTAGAGCCTGCCATTTAAATTATTCCTAATTGGGATGTATTCTGGATAGGTCCTCGCTAATGATTTGTATGTATGTCTATAATAATTTTAAAAGTTATGTTTTATTAGTCGAAATAAAAACATGAATTTATTGTCTAGGAAAATGTATTTAATTCTGTTTCAATAGAACAGTTTGGTAACCATTTGTGGTTAATAAACCCTACCTGGTCTTCCATATATCTTCCTCCCCCCTGAGATCTGGAGAGGGGGTACAGGACTCCCCCAAGCTTGAACTTGGCCTTTTATCAGACATTGATGAATACCTCAAACCTTAAAATCAAATATGCTGCTGTAATAAAAAGTTCAATCTTTATTCTAAGGAGTGTGCACAATATAATCCACAAAGGATGATACAGGGTGTCCAAAGAAACATGACAGTTGGTGTAAAGTTTAAATTTTGTCTTCTTCCATAATCAATTAAGTTGCTGGATATTATAGAGAATAATAAAAAGGGGGTCATATCATAATAAAATTAATTTCAAAGTCAAATACATTTGAGCACAAGATTTAGTTTACGAAATAAAATGCAAAGAATGTTTAATATTTTATACAGTAAATGGAAAAAGACATTCAAAACTATTCACCAACTGTCATATGACCTAATCAGACCATTGTGAATCGGACTCGGACATGTCACTCCACAAACGGAGGGTGACTCAAAATATTGTTTATTGACCTTTTCATAACACATTGGTCATTATTCGGTTTACAGTTTTTCTTAAAATTAGTCTTTTGATGAACTATTAAATGAATTTATAAGAAAAGATGTAAATCAAATCCACGAGAACCTAAGTAAAAAAATAGCAAACATCATATGCAGTCGTCTCTGAAGTCTCATTGCTTCTGAATAATCCTGTTTGCAAAATGTTTCAAAGAATCAGGAAATGCTACAAATCTAAATTGCTATTTTTCATTTTATAATTCTACAGTAGTATACGATAATATCATCAATATAAGGAATACGACTTTCGATTTAAATCTTTATTTATATTTTAAACATCATGGATGCACATAAACATGGAAGCACAGAGAAGCTGTCTATTAAAAAAGCTTCTCTTTAATTTCTTGTAAACTTGTCATTCGGAAAAATTCTTGTTAACAATTAAAACTTTTAAAAATATTCGTCTTCATTATATTGATATGATCGCTTCTTATTGAACACCGATATTTGGTATTCCTTTAGATTTTAGGCGGGAAATTGATTTACCTGGAGTAAGCCGAAGAATGTCGTCGTTGAGTTTATCAAGTTCGGACAGGGCGTCTTTACATTTATTTTGATCCGGATACTCAGCATTTATATTTCTTTCACCGCACACCTATTTAAATATTTATGAAACAATGTGTACTTATTCCTTCTTCCTCAATTCATGATGAATTTTTATTATGAACGTGCTAAAAAGTAATTATTGTGCTATAAAGTTAATTTAGCTGACATCATAGCACGTGTGCTATTAAGTTTGATTGGTTCCCGGATTTCCTCTAAAATAATTATGATATTTCCAAAACATTTTTTTAATAAAAATAAAAATAAAATTAAAATTAAATTTATATTTTATATCTGCTTTCTAAAAAAGCTTATTTTATCTAGAAATACCCATTGCAATTCTTGCAATAAGATAAGTACACAAACGTTTTCTAAAATTATCTATGAAACTATTATTTTGGCAAGAAGTGCTATAATTGTGTTTGAACTTAAATTTTCTCTGTGTCTGGAAAGTTCTCGCCTTTGTAGATTATATTTAATCCCTCGCTAAAGCTCGGAAAAAAATCAAATCTAAAAAGGTTTGATAACACTGCGCTGCGAACCAAAATAAAATTGTTATAAATAGTTATAATTCATTTTTAGTTCTCGTTCGGGCAAGACATTTTAACATTTATTGGCCAAACCTCAAAAAAATCCACACTCGCGCAGCTTTTATGTTTTGATTAAATTATAGTAAGTATACTAGGCTTTTAGGGGGTTTCGCGCCAATATTCTTTTTCAATTGTGAACATGTTCTCTCTGTAGTCTGTGTTCATAAGAAAAACAAAACAAACAAAAAATTTCGGATTTCATAAAAAAATTTCGTGGATTCTCAAAATTTTCGAAAATTTAATGAAAATCAAATTTTGTTTGAGGCAAATTTTGAGATTTTGATCATTCATAAACCTTCCCTGGGGCCAAGTGAGGTCCGACAAAAAACTTGGGTCGCATCGATGCAGCCGTTTTGCCGTTTTTTGAATACAAACAAACAGACAAACACCCACTAAGACAAGCTAAATTTATAATATAGATAGATAAGATATTCATTTTTCAGATATTCATCTATCAAATCTTATTGAACTTGATCTAAAAATATCTGGAATTTATCTGAAATCAAGTATATTACAAGATTTGATAATGCAGTTTTGTACTATAGTTACTATTAGCTGAAGGGCCCGGCGTTGCTGTGGAAAAAGAAAATTTTTAAAAAATCTTTAAAATAAACAAACAAATTTTTTTTTAAATATATTTTTTTAGCCTATGACACCCCCCGAGTCCCGACCACCCATGAGTGTTCACAAAAAGTTTCAGCCCAATCGGTCCAGCCGTTTGGCCGGCTATAAGCAACATTTGTTTATACGAATGTCTTGTTTTATTAGATATGTACTATATGTAGTGTACTATATGTACTATATGTACTATATGTACTTTATGTACTACCAGCTTGGGAACCAAGCTTTGCCTAGAAACCAAGTTTTCCATATAAAAATCAACCTACAGTGATAACCAGAAAACAATGGAATAGAAAGACGACATTAAAGCAATACTTAAGCGTTTTGATGTTGTTACAAAAAATTATTTTACTAGTAACTTAGAAAAACACAATTTAGGTGAAAAGAGTCTATATACTGTACAATTGATTTGTCTAATGTCTAGTTTAAGTCCTGACTTGAGCTTAAAAGTCGTCTTCCTATTTTAGAGTTTTCTGGTTATCACTATACTTTATAACAGAACTTTTAAATCAAGTTAAAAATATTCCCGTGGTAATATAATCAAGTTTCCTGATTCCTGAGTTATGATTGGACATACAAACAGAGATTACTACTTTATATATGAATGATTTTTATTCAGTTAATATCAAGATGGGTTTATAATATTATCAAAATCAGATTTAAAAAATCACGATTTAAAGAATTTGATAAAAAAATATTTCAATAAAAAATCTAACCTCTGGAAATTCGTCCGCCATCTTTCCCAAGCTCTGAGTTATATGGAACAGCTAAATCAGGTTCAGAATTTAGAAACAAAATATTGTATAAAAGGTTTTGTTAAATTATTTGTATTGTTGTTTTATACATTCGACATAATTATTATCATTGTCACTTGTCATGAATTGTATTCGAAATTAAAAACAATTTTAGATATTTCCTTAAATGATTCGTTGCATCCCAAATTTTTACATTTTTCTTCTGATTTTATGGAGATTAAAATGTATACTTTACTGAACACTTAATCATTCGTGCTCATTTGATGTCAAGTTTCATTATAGATGTTACACGAACCCACGCAAGGTTTAGAAGCTGTTTTTTGATTACCCAATGAAAACAATATTCTTATACCTGGGAAAGTCTGGGGTCGGAGAGTACTGAACATCCATCCCTACTCCTCTTGCTGCTACAATTACTGATACAACTGCTGCTACTTACACCACTCAACCTCTGGTAGTCAAATCTTCTCAATGGGTCACACTGCAGAAAGAAAATAAAATGCCTAAGTTCACTTTCATCTAAAATGGGATCAATAAAACTTTTTAAAAAGATGAAATAAAAATTAATCTTATTCATTTGCCACAGACGTGGTTATAATTTTAAAGTAAATAATTTGACTGCAACAGCTTAAAAACAATGTATAAAGTGAAATAAGTCTATGAACAATTCTTTTTTTTCAAGTTCACTGAACTAAATTGATTTTTTTACGGTCTAAGTCGTATGTTGCAATTTTCTAAATTTGTATGGGCGCTAAGTTATTCGGTTTGAGACGTCTTTAACAATTTTCTCTTTATAGACGCAACAGATAGAAGTAAGATTAGTAGCGCTTTTTTATCGCATTAAGCCTATACCCCCTTTCATTTTTCGCGAACACTCCCTTTAAGCTAAATCTACTTTATCATAAAGTGGTACCCAGAAAACGGTGGAATCATTGTCGTCGTCTTTGTCATTGAGATGTTAAACAATTTTTCCAAATAGTTAATGAATAAATAATAAATAGGAATTTCTAAGATTAATTGAAAGATTTACGAAGACTAAATCATTCCACAGTTTGCTGTTTATCACACATAAAATGACCATTGGGCTATTTTGAGTTTTTTTTACTCACTTCTTCTTTTTCTTCCGTTGTCTGTTCAGCCATTTTTGTAATTTTACCAACTTTTAGAAACCACAAATTTTTTTTCTGAAAAATAAGATTAAGCCATTATTTTTTATTTACTATATCCGTAATTATAACCAAATAACAAAAATACCGGTATGTTTCTTAAAAGTAAAAACCGTCAAACCTTTTTTAAAAAATAATTAGGGCATTTTAATTTTCGAAGACATTAAAATTTAGAACAATTTTTTTAGAAAGAGAATACTATATTTTTTCCCCGTGGTCACCCTTGGTAGAATAAACAAACCTTATCTTTTCTGTAAAGTAGTTGTAAATGATTTTGTAATTTACAAAATAATCTTTCCTATGAAAATAGTTTTTAATATTAGAATTGGAAAAAGCTCTTTTATTTTTCATTAGTTTTAATAGAGTGTTTTAGTTATTTTGATTTTACAAAAGCTATAAGGTATAAAAGAAAAAATATGTATTTTGTCCAAGGAAAACTAAATAATACTGTCAACTTTCCTCCGATTTTGTTTTTCCTTAAGTTGAAATATTGGAAATTCGCCGGACACAGTTTTGGATATTTTTAAAGCTTCGACAAAATTATATTTATTGATTATTTGACAATTTTTTTATTTACAATTCATCTTGGATATCAAATAATGCGTTAACCCTATACTTCTTTTAGCTTCCGGAAAACACCCCATCCCTTTGTTAAAAATGAGCTGGACAATTATTCGAATTCTCAATATATTTTGTAACACGTGTTTAGGGCTTTTAGAAAAATTATGGAGTTTTGTAAAAAAAAAACCCAAAACCTTTTATGGCAAAGTTCTGAACATGCGGCCACGTGCACGCTATTGGAGGCCATTTTTCACGAAACGGACTGTAGGCGTAATTTCAAAAAACACTTTATTTTACCAAGGGACGTATTTATTTCCGTCTAACCTCATTCTGGGTATCAATAAAAAGTGTATGATTCTGATAATTTTCTACAAAGTCTTTACTGCGTAAATCCTTCACTTTGGTATTAGGTAGAGAAACCACAATTGAAAATAATCAAGTTCTACCTTTGAAAAATGTTTAAAGTTACGATGGTAAACCAAACATCTCACTTATTTAATAAAAGGTCACATGAAAATTCATAACTAGTCCCTTAATGAGGGACAAAAATTAAGTAATAAATTTTCTTAATTTAACAAATACACAAATTACGAATAAATTCAAATTGGCCTTACTCTCCAATGGGGTTCAAATCCCCCTTGAACTAAGGCAGATAATTTCTCGTATTACTCGTTAAAGAAGAGTTAATAAGATGATATAAAAACATATGTTTTTATAAAAAGAATCTGGGTTAATCGTATTTTCAACATTTTTTGCTCAATCTCACAGCTATCTGTCACACGCCTGTGGAATGCGTAAAAAGTTTTAGCTGATTTTGCACAAAGCTAGAAAAACAATGAGTTACTTTACAGCAGGAGTTCTCAGCGAAATTTTGTCTAAAGTTAGACATACTTCAAATAGGACGTTTTATTCCCTTTATTTAAGTAATATTCCAATCATTAATTGTTATATATTACCTTTCCAGCAATAATTTGTTTTCGTACATCCGTTAATGCCGTTAATACAATTAAGATCGTTAAAGGGAGTGACCTGCAAAGTTTGATAATGCAATCTTTAAAATCCTCAAAAAGTCTACATAAACTAATTAGTTGCTTAAGAACAGTTTGAGAAAATAAAAATCAACTCTTATCATCGAAAATAAGTAATCTTATTTAGTTATTGTTGGCTTTAATGTATCAATATTCAAGAGCATTTTCTATAATGAAAAGACGACATTTGAAGAATTTGAAGAATTCTGCGAACAAGTTCATAAAGAATAAGAAAATCAATATAATGCATTGATGAAAAAGAAAACCATACATTGCCGGCCTTTCCCTTTAACAAACAGAAACATTGAGCATTGAGAAAGAACGGAAAATACCGTTAACAGTTCGGAGTTCCTAGATAAAGAACGAACTGCTCCCCAGGCCTAGGCCTTTACATATTTTGCTTCCTTGTTAAATACCTTTAGGTAAATTTAATGTTAAATATAAGTTTTCTATGAAAACAATTCACGATTTTGCTCAAGTTTTTAATACTTTAAAATTCACTTAATTAATAGTTTTTCTCTAATAGTTCTTTATCAGCACAACTCTAAAGTTTCGGATCTAGATTATTATATTATATAATCTACAAATAAAGCTGTGTGCATATTTGTATGATGCACAAGTGTTTTAATATAAAGATGTAGGATTTAAAGCAGAGTGCCTTATTTCAGTATTTGCGAAAATAAATAAATATCCATGAATATGTGGGACAGTTTTAAAGAGTTCCATATACTCATTTAATTAAAAAAACTAAAAATCTGCAACATTCCATTATCAGAAAGTGAAGAATACGACATTTGATGAATTCTTTCGATGTATTCGTTATTAAGGGTTTCACTGTACAATAAACTTAAAAATTTGAAAACTGTTAAAACAATTGAAACTCGGATTTAGATTTTTTAAAAATCTACAGAGGTGTTTCCATCCCTGTATCTGCTCCGTAAATTTGTTAAAAATATTGATTTTTAGACGGAAAAGCAATTCCGTTGCATGCAATTCAGCGAATATATAATTGCTTCATTTTTTCAATTATGGCGCAATTGCGCGCAATGAAATGGCGCAAGCGGAAGCAACCATTGCGCGCAATTCCGCGCAACGGAATTTTGATTGGAAACCCTAGACAGAACCCTAATTTTTTAGAAGAGTAACTTTAAATAACACCAACAGAAATTTAAAGAAACAATCTCAAGAACTGACAAGGGTCAACTCAGACCAAAATATATTTTCAATAAATGTGGAACTAACATCTACTTTTTATCATCATCACCGAATTTTAAATATTGTATATTGTACTGGACTGTATAGTGTATATTCTCTATAAAGTAAATTTACAATGATAAATAAATATTAAGCTGTGCTAGCAATATTAATATTTGTTGGAATCTGTCTTATATTAAAAATGCCCGCAGTGGATATCAAAATATAGAGATGGGGAAAAAGAGTATATAACCTAAAACGCTTATCAGTAGAAGTAAATATTTCCATTTACGTATAGCGCCGATTAAAGAATTCATAACTTTATAATTGGATAATGAGATAGACAAAAAGATAAATGTTACCGGATTATTATTTCTATTGGTTCAGAATAGACAATTAACACACGACTCAACCCTGATTGGATCAGGCGCTAATGGACTCGGCATACATGGACTCGGCATGTATCATTGATCAGTATTGTGTTAGGCCAATTTTAAAGAACCTTTTATCGTTTTTATCTAAACTGCATCTCAGTAGTAGTCTATTATTTTAGTGTTTTAAAAATAAATAATCAAGTCCCAAATACTAGATCTATCAAAACTACAACAATAAATATTGTATAGTTTCAAAATAACATCTGGACTATTAACATAAAATTCTTGGTTAAGGGAATGAATTTTTGAAATGTAAATTGCTCGTTTTTTTATTGCAATCTATGGTCATTGAATTATCACTTTGCAGAACATTTCCTAATTGTTTTAAGTCGTTGACAAATGGTAAAGGTAATTCATTCAATAAAATTGGGGTTATTTCAATATAATTAACCCTTTCTTTAGAAAAAATAAGGCATTTAGTTTTACATTTTTCTATTTGAATATTTGCTAAATTTCACTTTAGTAGCTTTGGCAAAATTTTCACAAATTTTCACCATTTTCTGAAGACCTTTTCTGCTAGGAGAAAGCAGAATAATATCATCTTGTTGACTTTAAAAGTCAATATGATAAAATAAAAGAGATCTAATGGTATTTCTAATCTTTATTTAATAAAACAATAGGTTATGAAATAGTTTCCCAAGTGTGGTTAAAATTGGTTGGTTTAAAAATTAATACAGAAACTATAAATTGACAAACATCAGTAGCAACTTAAGTGAGCTATGTAGAACTTCATGTTGGTAGTGCAGATCAACTAGAACTGTATCAGCAGGTTTCTGCTCTCTCCAGGCTCTCGTAGGATATATAATCCCCAACAAAACTTCCAGGTTCGATTAGGAAACTCTTTAGAGTTAAGATTATCCTCTTGTAGAGGAGAGTGGGTGAGTAGGCCCGTTGGAACTCCGGGGAGGGAAATATATTCAGTCCGGATAATTCCTTTCCGTTCAGCCGCAAATACTTAAAACTCTTGGAACATTTTGATGGGCTGGATGTAAGCATCATCTGCTGCTGCTCAAGTATCTATATTAACAACATGTAGGAGCCAGGGTAGCTCTCTGAGACTGAGTTGTGATCATCTCGGGTGTTTTCGGCTGACTGCTGAGGTGAGGCGGGAGCTGGGATGAGCGGGGATTTGACATGTGTGGTGTGCTTCATTGCGGAAATGGATCCTGTGTACACACACATCTAGAGAATTAACAGAGGCATTTGAGTCGGTACAATTGTCTTCCTTATATTTCGAATTTATGTTAACACATCTACATATACCCAGATTCCCATATAGACACCCTGGATTTGGCTTACAATCGTTGAATAACTTGATAACTTTGTCAATGTATGTACAGAATAGCACAGGGGAAGAAACTGCTCCTTGTCTGACTCCATTTTGTACATTGAAGGTATTTGAGAACGCATTACCCCATCTAACATTACATTTTTGATTTGAGTAAAGGAACATTAAACACCTTAATGCTAGAGGTGAAACACCCCTCTCCAATAACTCTGAGAAGAGCACTTCCCATGACACATGATCAAATGCCTTACTCAGATCCATTGCACAAGCATAAACTGCTCTACCAGCTCTGTTGTAATAATCAGAGTTGACCCACAGAATAAAAAATAAATGATAGTTGATAATCATAAGATTTTCAATATTTTTAATGCTAGTTGACATTTTTCCGGTCTAAAAATCAAATTTATTCTTTAATAAACGTATTTATATTTTCTCTCAGAATAATTTGAAAAAATGCAAATTCAAACTCTCAAGGACTTAAAACCAAAAATCGGTACTTAATAAAAAAAGAAAAACTCTTATTAAAACCATATTTAGTAAAAAATGAGCCTCTGCACATTTACTACATGAATTTTTAAATTTTAATAAGTTTCCAATTTTGCAAAACAGGTGTCCAATATTATTCCAATAATATTCCAATAATATTCCAACAATATTCCAATAATATTCCAATAATATTCCAATAATATTTCAATAATATTCCAATAATATTCCAATAATATTCCAATAATATTCCAATAATATTCAAATCACACTTGCTATAATTACATTTATTATAAAGTTACATTTCCTATAAGCTTACATTTCCTATAAAGTTACATTTTCTATGAAGTCACACTTCCTATAATTACGTTTTCTATAATCATATCACATATGTAAAGTTGTATTTCAAAGGATCAAATCATAATGATTCCGCACCTTATTAATTTTATTAATCCGCTAATTTTTTTCTTTTATTTAGTATTGGCTCGGAATTCAAAGTGAAACATGGTGTCATTGCAGCTTTCATTTAAGAAGACAACAAAGGGAAAACCTATGGCTGTAGATGTGTAAAACTATAGGCGTACCCTAAATACTACTTGAGGGCCGAGCGCTGCGGCCTCCTAATAGTTAAATAATGTTCTGTGTCTCACCATAATTTGGGATAATATGCACTGTCTCTATCATTATTTTGGGTTAGATTAGGTTAAGACAATTTCTGGCCAAGCACTGCGGTTAGGATGGGCTAGGGGTCCGAGCGCTGCAGCTAGGTAAAGCTAGGGGGCCGAGAACAGCGACTAGAACAGGATTATCAATAATGATTTTTTATAAAATGTTGAGGGAAATCTAAAGATTATTTGACCTTAAACACAACTTTTGAATGATTAAGGAATAGGGTTGAGTTTAAACAAATATATTTGAAGTTTAATTATAGGAAGTGTAACAATATGATATGTAACTGAGCTGGTAGAACCACGGGAATCTGACCTTGGTTTAACAGATTCAGTGAGTCAGCTTTTATTCTAGGCAAGGCTGGGTTCTCAAGCCAGTAAATAAATAAAACGCCAAATAACAAAACGGCCAATCAACTAAACACCAAGAACAACAAAACGCAAAAAAATCGCACAGTTCAACTAAACGCCCAATTCAACAAAACTCCCAATACAACAAAATCCCAATAAAAAAACGCCCAAAAAAATAAAGCACCTTATGCAACAACACGCCCAATGCAGCAAAACGCCTAATACAACAAAACGCATTTGTAACTTAAAAATAATTAAACAATATGTCTAAAATACGAAACAAATGGTCCAAAACTCTAATTCTAAAACACTTATGTAATTGCAGATTTTTTTTTGTCTAAATAATAGTTTTTCAAATTATTAGTAGAATTTTTGTATATTTTATAGGATACATAACAAAACTTGACACTTTTCCCGGTAAAGTTTTGATCCCTAAGATGCCAGAAAACTGGTACTTTTGTGAACTTTCAAGGGGAAATATTTCTGCCCTTTTCAAAATAAATTTTTAAAACTCAAATTTGGTCGTTTTTTGGAAAGCTGCCGTTTGCTATTGGATGTTTTGGACATATACACTGTTTTTTTCCCCAATCAAAAATCAAGGCATTAAAATAGATGCGCCACGCAATGAGCTGCTTTATTACATTAACTATTTAAAACTTACCAGATTTCAAAATGTCAAAGTTATGTTACAATTTCACAATTAAAAGTCACATTAACTAAAAGACCGTCCCTTTGCGCTCGAATTCTGAACAAAAAATCGGCAATTTTTCTCCGGCCACAGTTGTCTTGAAAAGTACAACTAGTACTAATTAAAAGCTAATAGGCTGTTTAAATATGAACTGAAGGACATTAAGTCCAATATTTTTTGTACACCTTTAAAATCCTTTTGTTTGTCCAGGCCTAATGTCGTATGCCTGGACTCCAGAGACATTTATCAGGCCAACCCGCCAACATGTTTTTCAATATAATCATTCTTTTAAATGCAGGGTAATATATTTTTTTGACAAATTTTATCCTTTTTAAAAAGGATTTTTTTCCTTTGCTCTATTTACATCTGAGAAATGTCTCATGCAAAAACTAATTTTGCAAATATTTTGTTTTATAGGGAAACTTAAAGGGAGTGTTCGCGAAAAATGAAAGGGGGCTTACATGGAAAATATTTGATGGTGATTGCTACTAATCTGTCTGTGGCGTCTATCCGGAGAAAATTGTTAAAAACGACTTATACCAGACTTATACCATACAAATCCTGATATTCTGATATATACCATACAAATCAGAATTTTGCAATAAATCTAATTCCAAACAAATCTTTCAGATATTACAACAATCATAGATTTTTTTTCGACGCATTCATATATAATAAATAATCCATAATATTCTTTATTTGTTTTAAATATGATCCAATTTAAATGACGATTAGATGGCCGCCAGATGTTTCTGCTCTTGATGTGTCTGCCTGGTTCTACGTGGCAGAGAAAAAAAATCGTCGTTTTAAGTGCATTGTATATAAAACAAACATAAAATATGATGAAATATCATGCGTTGAAAAAAATCGATGATAATATGATGATTAATTGAATTGAAAATGTTTACAAGGTTGTTAAATGCCATTGACAGTAGTCTGTTTGTTAAAGAAGAGGTTCCTGTCGCTAATCTGAATCTAGTCGAGGAACAAGGTATACAACTAGAGATGGCCATCGTTTTTCTCAACAAATTAAACAAAACTAAATTTTTGAAAATTTAAGAAATTTTTCAGAACGAACGAAATCTTTTGTTATAAACAATGAACGAAAAAACGAACGATAGAGGAACGAGAGAAATAAAAAAACTATCTTTTTTGTTTAAAATGAACAAAAAACGAAAAGGAACTTGATTTAAATCTTTCAACCGATCTTAATTTTTCCTTAATAATTTCTAAATAGTTCGTTCAAACGAACTTGAATAATGATCGCCTTTTACGAACCAAACGAAAATGAAAATGATCAATAATTTTGAGAAAGAACGAAATCAAATTTTTTTGAAAGATTGAAAAAAAAACGAACGAAATGGACCATTCATGAATGAAGAACGAACGAAAAAAATACTGAGTATGCCCAGCTCTTTTTACAATTCACTAATGTTAAACTCAAAAATCATGATGAGGTAGACTTACTCTCTTTTATAGAGACTTACTCTCTTTTACATAGACTTACTCTCTTTTATATAGACTTACTCACTTTTATAGATTTTAAAAGATATTTAAAAGTTTATCTTTAACGAATTGATTGCATAGAATGTTATTTGATTGCATTGAATGTCATTTGTTTGCAAAGAATGTTATTTGATTGCATAGAATGTTATTTGATTGCATTGAATGTTATTTGATTGCATTGAATGTTAATTGATTGCAAAGAACGTTATTTGATTGCATTGAATGTTATTTGATTGCATTGAATGTTATTTGATTGCATAGCATGTTATTTCATTGCATAGAATGTTATTTGATTGTATAGCAATTTATTTGATTGCATAGAATTTTTATTTGATTGCATAGAATGTTATTGGATTGCATTGAATTTTTTTTGATTGCATTGAATGTTATTTGATTGCATAGAATGTTATTTCATTGCATAGCATTGAATTTTTTTGATTGCATTGAATGTTATTTGATTGCATTGAATGTTATATGATTGAATTGAATGCTATTTGATTGCATAGAATGTTATTGTTGAATGTTATTTAATTCTTGATGAATCATGAATTCCTAAAAAAGAAAAGTTTGCCAAATTTAAAAACCTGAAATCAATTGAGGAATTCAAATTTTTTTGAGTTTTCCAGAACATATTTGATGAATTCTGAAAATTTTCATTTAAATTCAATGTAACTGTATGAATAAATCGATCACCATTTCGGAAAAATTGCATACATTGAAATTGAAATTGAATATTTTGAAATTTGTGAAAATGAATTGTTGTAAATTCCAAATATTGTTAAAAAATGAAAATAAAACATGAAAGCTTAATTGTGAAATGATTTCTCAAAAATCAAATAATATCAAACAATCATATATAATCAAATAATATATGTCACAAAGAGTGACAAAACAAAACTAAGAAACTTTATGGCGCGACCTTTTTTATGTTTAGATTTTGTTCAGTCAGCTTTCATTTGCAGTTTAAAGTTTTTGGGAAAAAAAGGTAAATATTTTTAAAATGTATATTGTATAATGCATGTATACATTGCATAGTATTGTATATACTGCAGAATTGGTTTTTGGCAAAATGGAACAATACACATTTAAGGAAAATGTTACTTACATCAACCCTTTCGAAATAAGAACTTTTATTGAACTATTATTGTCCATTTTGTCCAACTATGAATCTCAAGAATATGATACAACCTACTTTTAGTAATGATTTTATTTTGATTCTTTAACAGTGAGATTAAATAGTTTATGGCTCTCAGTTCAGTTTATTTAGGGCAAACTCGTCACAATTTTCTTAATCTAAATTAAAAACAAGTTTGCTAAGTGAAAATAAAGCTCACCAAGAGCGTCCAGAGCAGGTAGACTCGTGAAAATAAAGCTCACCAAGAGCGTCTAGAGCAGGCTGACCAGTAAAAATAAAGCTCACCAAGAGCGTCTAGAGCAGGTAGAACCGTGAAAATAATGCTCACCAAGAGCGTCTAGATCAGGTAGACTTGTGAAAATAAAGCTCACCAAGAGCGTCTAGATTAGGTAGACCCGTGAAAATAAAGCTCACCAAGAGCATCTAGATCAGGTAGACCAGTGAAAATAAAGCTCACCAAGAGCATCTAGATCAGGTAGACCAGTGAAAATAAAGCTCACCAAGAGCGTCTAGAGCAGGTAGACCCGTGAAAATAAAGCTCACCAAGAGCGTCTAGATCAGGTAGACCAGTGAAAATAAAGCTCACCAAGAGTGTCTAGACCAGGTAGACCCGTGAAAATAAAGCTCACCGAGAGCGTTTAGATCAGGTAGACCCGTGAAAATAAAGCTCACCAAGAGCGTCTAGAGCAGGTAGACCCGTGAAAATAAAGCTCACCAAGAGCGTCTAGAGCAGGTAGACCCGTTAAAATAAAGCTCACCAAGAGCGTCTAGAGCAGGTAGACCCGTGAAAATAAAACTCACCAAGAGCGTCTAGAGCAGGTAGGCCCCTTTTTTGAAACAATCTTGCACAAGTTCAAATGTATGACAATATGTGTATATTTTCGTATTTTTTAAGCGAAACATGTGCATACTTTTTTGCGCAAAAGGAACTGAATTTCTAAATCGATCTTTGCAACCCGATGTTATAGACCTTTGATGCTTTGAACACTATTCCTTTGAGAACACTATTTTCCTTGGACAATTTGCACATACAAATTGCCATGCAAGTTATGCACATAATTATAACGTGCAATTTTTTGGCGCGGAATTTGCGTCAAAACCTTCCGTGCATTAGGATATGTACGTACAACTATAACACCCCATACAAGGAATGTTAATTAAGTTTATTCAGAATATGCAGGACCATGTGATGATGTGAGTGCTGTAGCTAGCCAAGTCAATTAAAATACTCATTTTTTTCATCTTGCATTTTACTTCTTATTTATGTATAGTGAAAAGTAAGCGAACCTACATCGCAATCGAGACTAAACCAAAACATAAAGAAATACATGTGTGTGCTAACCCCTTGCCATTGGAAGTTTAACTAAGACCTGTCCTCTGCCATTGGAAGTTTAACTAATACCTGTCCCCTGCCATTGTAAGTTTAACTAAGACCTGTCCCCATGCAGCCATTGGAAGTTTAACTAAGACCTGTAAAAAATCTAATGCGATAAATAAAGTTTCACCCAATCAAACTTTAGAATGATTGTCATCTCTGTAATTTCTTTTAAACATAAAATTTTCCCTAGAACTAAGTAGTTCATAACATCAGCAATTTTTAAAAACTACCCAAAATATTTTTTTTAAACTAATGTACATTTTGTGAACAAAAAATTGGTTACAAATTACGCATGAAAGTTAAAAACAAAAAGTTCACTGGTTTAATTAAGTTTATTAAAAGGATTCCTATGATATCATAATAAAATTCTTATGTTAGCTGAAGGTGGAGATTGTCAAGTGTTTAATTATGTAAACACAACTGAAAGCTGTTTTCTCGGTAGCTTTAGGTAAGACAACAGTTTTGTTTTATCTGAATCCAGTTTTCAATTATTTTTTTTTCAAAACCCAAAACTGCGATGTTATAAAAACGCAGATTTTTTGCAATTCAATTTTTTCGCTGTTTACTTTCGAATATTTCGAGCTTCCATGAGTTTCGAATCTTCTTTTATAAAGATTCTCAAAATATAAATTTTAGTGAGAACGATAAAAGTGACAAGGATAATTCAACACAGTTGGTCTGGAAGCAAAGAGGTATGAATGTCTCAGAAAAAATAGATAATAGGATAGAATTTCAGTTTAAGCTTTGAATCAAATTTGGTTTGAAAAATTAATATTTAAAAATCAAAACCTCTAACTAATATTTTTATATGCCGCAGATAAAGGAATAGAGTCTTTGTCACAAACTTTGATTTTCCAATCCCTATATCTGTGCAACCCATTGGCGTAGAACTAAGATATTTCAAACTATTAATAATGATAGATTAAATATTATAAGTTTGAAAAATCAAAGGTTTGCACCATCAAGTTGTAAAGAAATAGGGATTAGAAAATTTGAGTTTGTTGCAAAGACTCAATTCCTTTGCAGTTTAAAAAAAATGAATTGCATTGGCGCTCTAAACTCCATACCCTAGATAAATTATCTAATTTAGCTAGGCTCCATACATACACCCTTATCTACAAAAAATGGGACTTTATTAACAACACAAAACTATTTGAATTAAACAACTAAAAGGCTGAAATTGTTAATCAAAGCCTTGAATAGTTTTCTTGATAAAGTAGATCATTTGACAAAGAAAGACTGTTTCTAACTGAAATAAGAAAGATTATTGTTGGAAAGTAGTCCATAAAAAAGATAAATTTCACTTTGTTTCAAGGATGCCCCGTTCCAGAGGATCCAGAACATGGAAGGTGGAACTGTCTGAAGAACATTAAGCAAGGTTAGTCATAGTTCAACGTTTCCTGCGCTAAAATTTGGATCAAAATCTCAACCAAAAGCTGTAATTTTTAGTCAAGTTTTTAGTTGGTATGAAATCACATTTAAATTTGGAATTTTTTTTATCACAAGGCTAGATGGTAATTTCTAGTTATTGTTATTAGGAAGTTCCGGGGAATCTGACCCCATAATACAATCTTAAAAATTAACATTTTAAATCTATGATTCGGATAAATTTTTTTATGGATTTTTTGCTTTAGAAAAATGTTTTTTGGTTTGTTCTCCTGGATATGTTGCCCAATCTTACAGAGGTAATTTGTAAACAGACGTGTGAATTGAGATGTCTTAAATATGTTCGATGAATTTAATAATCTCAACATTTCTTATTTCCGGGAAAATAATATAGCGTCTTAGCCAAAAAACGAAAATTTTCAAATCCCTATATCTTTCTAAACTGATGTTGTAAACCTTTGATATATCAAGATTAGTTTGTTTGTTCAACAGAATTCATAATTAGATATGTGTAAGGTCTACTACATTTGGTTGCACAGATATAGAAATTAGAACATCTGAGTTTGTTTATTAGTTGTTAATTTTATTTATAAAATTTGTACTGAAATTCAGCTTGCTACCGAACCAAATGCTCTCTTAGATTAAGACAGGGCTTTATTTGGCCAAATAAAGGATAATTTACAAATGGTATGAAATAAAGGAGAATTTGCACTGGCATGAAATAAAAGAGAATTTGCACATGGCATGAAGTAAAGGATAATTTACAAATGGCATGAAATAAAGGAGAATTTATAAATGGCATGAAATAAAGAAGAATTTGCACATGGCATGAAATGCTATGTAACTCATTCTTACGAGGGTTTAGTACAATTAAACATGATTCTGTATTTTCAAGACTGGTTAGTTTTGTAACAAGAATTAATCATGTGATGATGGGCACTTTCAGATTTTCTACAAGTCGTTTGTTAACTTTAATACTTTAGTTATAGTTTAGTTATACTTTAGTTATACTTTAGTTATACTTTAGTTATACTTTAGTTATACTTTAGTTATACTTGTTAAAACAATCAAGAAACTGTTCAGTCTTTAGCTAAGAACTGAACGTTCTATTCCTTGACGGTATTTTCAGTTCTATCTCAAAGTATCTGTTTATTAACAATTTTGACTTTATTAACAGCAAGTTTCATGAAATTTTGACGTTAATTTTTAATGAAGTTATTTTGAAACACATTTTTTAGCTCGTTTATAAACTGCAAATTTTTATTTCAAGAATAATTATTTTTTGTTAAGTTTTAGAAATTATTGGTTTCTGTTAATTTTCAAAAACTTACTGTTTGGTAACAGAACAAGTCCTACCAAAATGCCTTTGAATTAAATAAATTGCTAGGCCTTTATTGCAACCATGGAGCTAATGCTGAATGGGATAAACCTCTAGATGAGTTTAAGTGTTTACCAACTATTATAGCAGTTACAGGGGGGTTGCTATCACCAACGGTAACAATAAACATATTTCATAATCATTCTGCACAGTACAGCGGAATTCACAAGTCTAATTTGTTCTTCTCATTAAGAACAAGCAGTTCTATACTTTTGGACCCAATGGGCAAAGGCTTTATACACAAGGGATTACTCAACAAACCCGACAGCATGTTGTGCAGTATTTCAGGTAGCTTAACATAATTGTTTTCCTTCGGAGCTGAGCTTCTATATCTATATTGTCCACACCTGTTCTCAAGCAAGTTTATGTTAACAATAGTCTCACTAAAAATCGAAGATAGATCCAACATTGTGCATGCTTGCTGGTTGTAAAATTGCTAAATTCAAAACTAAGCTTGATTGTTAGAGCTGGAAAATGGCCGATTATTATTTGGCAAATTTTTTGATCACTTATTCAATACTTCTTAGATTTTCTTTAGGTCTTATGCTTAAATTACAAAACACATAATGAAACAAATGTTGACAAGATTAAGAGCTCTTTTTTAATATCAAGTTAGACTAATTGAGACAAATATTAATGAATTAATGTGGATTCAAAGTATTTATTCTTTCTTGGATTCTAGCTTTTATTCTTGAATGGACTCAATAACAGTTAGTCAGTAAAATGCTCATAGAACTTTTTGGCTTAAACATATTTTAATAAGCACGTCAGGCGATAGCCCACCTACTATGAGGATGCAAATTATTTTGGACATATTTTTTTTTAAATTTGGTATTTTTTATTTCATGTTTTTTACAAATTAAAATTTTAAGAGACTAATTATTTTTTACAAAATTCTTCTTTTCACACCACCTCTGAACATAGCAGATAAAGCAAGTTGTATTTAATTATTTTTTCTGTGTACAGCCTGAATTTGAGTAGTCGCGGTACTCATCAATTATGATCAATTATAGTAGAATTTTGATATTTTTCTTAAATTCTGAATCTGTTGCATCATTCATGTATCCTGCAGCAATTTTGAAAAAAGTTCGAAAAAACCCCTAATCCTATAACTGCATTCAGCTAGGTTCAAAATGATCCAGGAGTACTCTCTAGGACAAGTGCTCCCATTCCAAAATGCTGATCCCTCTCAGAATGTTTTGATTAAGATTCCACAGTAAAGCGGTTTCTGAGTTCCACTGAATCTGCTCGTGAAGTAGGATAAGGTAGACGAAAAAAGGAAATTTTCAGTTGTTGCATGCCGATTTGGCTGTATTCAATTCAAATCATTTTCTTTTCTTGTGTTTTTAAATACATTTATACTTTCAATAGCTGTAAAATTAACAATATGAGTCAGTCAATTCTTGTGTGTGCGCGGAGCGCCAAAGAAAATTTGTTAAGTAGCTTGTTTAATTACAGATAAAATTACAAGAAATAATCATTTATATATTTTGAAAAAAATACATCAAAATACATATATAATTTTAATCACCTACATTGAAAAAGGACAGATATTGTTACGTTTTCTCCTGAAGCTATTGAATATATGATGAATCATTCTAACCAACATTCATAATCTTATTTCATTTTTGATTTTATAGAAGTTCGTATAAAGAAGATAAACAGGTTATCAAATATGATAATCAGTTAGAAGTTTGCCAGAATGTTCTCTAGATTTGGAATTGAGTTTTAGCCACAAACTCAAATATTCTAATCCCTAAATCTTTGCACCGAGTGGTGTAAACCTTTGATATTTCAAACTTAGAATATCTTACCAAAATTATTCAAAGTTTGAAGTATCTGCACATTTGAATTATTTTCGTGCAAATTTTAAAGATATTCAATTTTAAAATCAACCTTTTTTTAAAAACAAATTCTAGGGGCCCCAGGATTCTAGAGGGGGTATTTACCCCCAGGATTCTGGGGGGGGAGGAATTACCCCCAGGATTCTAGGGGGGATAAACAACCCCAATAACCCCCTTATTTAAGCCACTGATAAGGTTGGAGTTTTAAGAAGTATTAGAGGGGCATTGAGAGATCTTCTTGCTTGCAGAAAACCCCTGTTTTACTCTGGTTTTAAAAATCTTTCCGATTTTTATGCGAAATTAGAATAAATTTTCCTATTATGACCCATAATCTGCACCGCATATACAGCTGAGGAGTTGTTCCTTTATCCATGTGTGTGGTCAGAGATTTTCCATGAGGGCTCTAGTCATTGATGCTTGTCTCAGTTAGTCAAATTGGTATCTATAGAGAGCTCTTTATCTTGGCATTATTTATTCTTTCATGTGGTTTTGTAATTTAAGCATAAGATCTAAAGAAAATCTAAGAAGTATTGAATGAGTGATCAAAAAAATTGGCTTTTCTAGCTCGGACAATCCAGCTCAATTTAAAAATTAGCATTTTTACAACCAACAAACATGCACAATATTGGATCCAACTCCGGTTTTCATGAGGTTTATCTGAATATCCACTGTCAAGACTTTTGATTTTCTGATTAGTTAAAGATTATAGTAATCTGTAAATTTACAAAAAGAGGAGATCAAGCATTGATATCAATTTCCACTATAAAAGGAAGGTCACTTGAAATTACGCTTACAGTCCCTTTATCCAACATCTATATCCATAAGGTACACATATTTTTCATGCTTTATGGTCAGCATTTATAATAGATCAAAAATATTTTTTTCATTATAAAATTAATTTGTTTTGGTTCTTAGTAGACTCTGCTTTCTTTTTTTATTAATAGTGGCAAGATAACCTACTGTGGGGGTGATCCAAAAGCTGGATGGATCAACACTGGATGCTACTATTACGATTTTGATTTAGGAAATCAATTCAAAAATAATATCAATTCTAGAAAACAAAAATGGGGAAATTCTCCTAATACTCAAATTTTGATAATTTGAAGAATTTTCTTGAGAACAGGTTCTAAAGTCTCCAAATTTGGTTTATATTTATTTAAAGAGTCATTGTGAAGAATGTGAAAAGTAAAGGATTATTTCCTTCTCAAAATTGTTCAAAAATTGTTTGGTGGGATACTGCTTTATAATGGGGAATGTCCACATTTCCATAAAAAGGGTGGGGGGTGGGAGGGCTTCCTGACTTTGTTTGATTCAAAAACTAGATCACAATTTTCAGGCCGGCATGCAAAAAATCAGAGACAAATCTCTTAAAACGAAGTCAGAAAGCCCCCCCCCCCCCCACCCTTTGAATGGAAATGTGGACATTCCCCTTTTAATGATTTAGATTAAGGGCAATAACAATAGCATACAGTGAAACCCTTAATAACGAATACATCGAAATAATTCATCAAATGTTGTATTCTTCACTTTCTGATGTGGAATGTTGCAGATATTTAGTTTTTTAATTAAATGATTATATTTAACTCTTTAAAACTGTTCCCGCATATTCATGGATATTTATTTTTTTTCGCAAATACTGAAATTTACGTAATACAGTATAAAACTCATTTAAAAATTGTCAAGACGACATTTGATAAATTCTTCCGATGTATTCGTTATTCAGGGTTTCACTGTACTTAAGTTCAAAATTGATACTTTAGATCAGGCGCGCAACTAGACATTTGGTTAGAGGGGGGCTAGGGGAAAAAATATCACGCGCGAAGCGCGAAAATTTTTTTTGGCCCCCCCTAAACATTTTTAGGGGGGGGCAAGAAAAATGTGTGTTATACTTAAACAATAAAAAACTAACCTTACCAATCGGATATTCAGTTATAAGTCAACACATCTGATAACAAATGAAACAAGAAATCTATTCTGGTCAGGGGCGGATACAGGGGGGGCGGGGGACATTCGCCCCCCCCTGACAGATTCAGGGAGGGGCGTAGCCCCCCCTGAATTTTGAATTTTTTGTTCTTATTTCAGAATAGCTTCTTAATAGCATGCTTAATTCGGAAAGAAACCCTATAGTGCAAAACAGGAAAAATATCTGTCTTAATAAACTATAATGTGTGAAAAGTTAAACATCTAGTTTTTTAGTCTTTAGTCATTAATTTTTACTTTTTTTGAGTCTTTTAAGTCAAAAAAATTTTCGCTTGCGGCGCGATTTTTGTTCCTAATAATGAATTTTTTTGTGCCTAAAAAATCTTGCCCTCCCCTCACTTAAGTCCTGTATCCGCCCCTGAATATCTATCTAAACCTAAAATTTCATAAAAATCGGACTCATAAATATTCGCTATTTAGTTAACCATTGTAACTGTTTTAGCTAACTCTTTTTATCAATAAACAGATTGAAAATTACAGTGTTGAAATTTCTCCAAACAAATAAAGAAAGTAATTTTTAATATCTCTCCATTGGCCAAACCAATCTTAAAGAAATTTTAGGATAAGATCGCAATTACTTATTATCACATTTAAATTTTCTACACTTAAATTTTGACTTTTTTATGTGGTGCCATGTGAGTAGAAAAAGGAAAACAATGTTCCAAAATATTACAAAAACACAATTCACCTTTTTTTACTCACCCTGTATAGGATATACAATTGATTATTGTAAATATATAACTCACTATTTCTTCAGTCAGAGTACGCAAATCACTGAAAATAACATGGCTGATAGATCAATGAGCGTAAACTGATTAACTGATTGAGTTGAGGATTGAGTGCAACACACCTGTTTAGGCTGGGATGGTTTAACCAAATACAGTGGGCCACCAGAAAACTCTGGAATGATTTTATTCTTCGATCTTTCCTTTTTACGTTTTCATTATCGTTGGCTTTGCATTAGAAAGGTTCTTTAAAAAAATAACAAGAAAAAACCCATATCATCATAACTTAGAAAAAAAAATATTCTCCTGCTAATAATATTATTTAGGAATATATCAATTATGAAATCAAAAAATATTTTTTAAATTTTACAACATGTTTTTGAAAAGTCCAATATTATTGTTCCGATACGGAAGGTAAAAAAGCCAAAAAAAAAAAAGGTTTGCAGATTTTCCTCGGTGTGAAAGGAGGTTCACAAAGAAAACGTCGCATGAGGACTTTTTGAAATTCTAATATCTATAACAAATATGTTACACTAGCTGAAGTGCCAGGCGTTGCCCGTGGAAAAAAAATTGTAAATGAATTTTTTTAGCCTATTTTACTATTTTACCTCCGAGATACCCGTGCGTTTTCTCAAAAAATGTCAGCCCATTCGGCCTAGCCGTTTCGCCAACTGTAGGGAACATATATACGAATGTCTTGTTTTATTATGTAAATAAAGGTTTAAAGGGTATTTAGATGATACCGTTGTGCATCGATCATGGTCCTCATTTACTGGAAGGTTTCTTGAAGTTACAACATTAACCCCTGACTTGCGTGAATATAAAGTTTAAAAACAAAATTGAAGGAACAAATAATATTGAACATGATGCTGGGGAAAAATCATGATTTCAATACTTCCCCTCCCCCCTCTTCTTGAAGGCTATCCGCGCTCCCCAATATCATGATTTTGGAAATTTACTTTTTCATGACAAAATGAAATCTTTTCATTTCTGCCTGTGTCATGCCTGTATTTTCAGTCTGTCTGTGTTAGTTTAAAACTAAAAATGTTGTATCAAATAAATTAACCGAATTCAGGGCTAAGTTTTCAAGAAAAATATGAAACCCATTATCAGGCAGGTTAGTTTGGCATTCAAAAAGTTAACATACATTCTTTAAATTATTTTATAATTTTTTTTAAATTTAAACAAATGAATAAATAACTTTTTAAATGTTTTTGCCAAAACATACCTATTTTTTATTTTGTGGTTCATGTTTGCAACTGAAGTTAATGGAAAACGGTTTGCATTGAAAGTAAAAAATATTTTATGTTTTTAAACATTACTCCATTTATTGAAGAGGTATTTAGAAGAACACAAATGTTTTGGACACCTAACATATAACCTGAGGCCGAATTTAAATAATTTGAGCCGCGGCTTAAATTCAAGCCGGGGCTCAAATATGATCGGTTCCACTAAAAATTGTATTCAATTTTCAAGATTTAAGCCGGCATTCAATTGAAACCGGTTTTGGGGGGATTTGAGACGCGGCTTAAATATATTAAATTCGGACACGGGCAAATCTGCTTTTCTCATAGTTGCATGCGTTAAGACAAAACCAGAGAAGCTATGAAGTCACAAAGTCCTAACAGTATGTCACATAAAATTTATCTTCTCCTTGTGTCTAGTTTGCTGTGAAACACAATAAACTTCAAGAGATGTTTTTATTACATATATGTATGTTTATATACATACTATACATTTTAAGAGTCTCAGACAACCTACTCAATTAAAAAATTTTGTTAGCCTATAACACCCCCCAGCCACCCCTTAGTGTCCACAAAAAATGTCAGCCCAATCGGTCCAGCCGTTTGGCCGGTTATACGCAACATATATATGAATGTCTTGTTTTATTATATAGATTGTAATAACAAATCGTTTTTCAATGTATGCATGAAATAATAAAAAATAAAAAAAATATTTTTAGAAAAAGGGGTTGATATTTTATACTTTGGTGTACTTAAAAATTTATTATAATCCTATAGTTCTTGACAGAAAAAAAGATATGAAAATTCATGGAAACTGCAGTTTAGACAAAGAATTGAGATAATTTAAACGTTATAGAACAATATTAACTTGAAATAGATAATTCACAACTTAGGTTTATAATTTGATATGCCTACAGTATTACAATATCAAACGGGGTAAAGGAATTGAGTATTTGCCACAAATTTAAACTTTTTAATTAATCTACAGTTTGAAATATCAAAGGGCCATGCACGGTATTGACATGCGAAGATAAAGTACATTTGAGCTTGTGACAAAACCTTCGTTCCTTTCTACAAATAATGTACCTTTCAAATACTTGAAATATGTAAAACTAATCGATTTCGAAATTGCAATTTCATTAAATTGAATACCCGATGACTGGCCTACCTGAAAACCTAAATTTGAATAGATCTATAAATTGGTTTAAAAGGGACAGTATGCGTTATTTTAAGGGACCCTGTATTGAGCTGAGACTGTAAGTGTACACTGTACAACAGTACAGTGTATACAGTGTACGACGTACGTACACAGAGCTCACACCGGCATTTTCAGCTGACTACAAGCCTTTAAGTAACTTTAACCGTATTTTATTGTTGAATCTGAACCCGGGAAACAAAAAATTCGGGAAAATACGGCTCGGGTCTAAGCTGTCATTGGGCCTTGTTTACGGCTTGAGCTTTCGGATTCAAGCGGCATCTTATTTTCTAGAGAGTTGAGTTCGAAAAATCGGTTCAATATTCTATTTGGCGGATTTTCACGATCGGCATTGGCACATTCTGGCTTTGATGAGAACAAGACTCAACATTGAGCCTTATTCTCCACTATAACTAACCTAGGTCGGTTTTATTTTTATTGGGCCTATACTCCTTCAGTAGAGCCCAGGCCCGTAGCCAGGATTTGTCCAGGGGGGGTGCAATATGACGCGCCGGGGGCGAAAATTTTTTTGGGGGGTTCGGGTTTTTAATGATTTTTTAAACAATGTTTGGTTTGGTTTTACAGTGGTGGTTGTTTTTATTACATTGTCAATGCACACTATAAAGGCTAACCTTTTTAACAAGTGTATTTGAGCTTTTCAGGGAGTACTGCTTAACTAAAAGAGGAAAGTAATCATTTATTACTTTGACTTTGCAATATGAAAATGATATGATCTTATTTCTTATTCATTTAAAAAAAGCCTTTCAAGGGTCAAGGGGTGCTATGGAAACGCCTCACCACGGAAATGCCTCAAAAAACAGACTCATAAAACATATAGCACACCGGTTAAGGGCTAAAAGTCTGAAAGTGTACAGGAGATTCCCATTTCATTTCCATGGGACTCTCATGCATATGATTAATAAATCATACTGTTTTAATTAGACTTCACCAACTTAAATGACTATGAGCAAATTTTGATGTTGTGTTATCACCCTAAACTAAGCTTTCGGTGTGTTCTGAAGTAATTTGCAGTACACTGACCGAAGATATAGTAGCGTTTTAGTTGAGAGTGTTATATTTAATCAATAGAGTGTACTGATCAACTGTTAGTTAGCCTGCGATAGGTCACAGGAGAGACATGACTTAGGGGATGAGTTGAGAGAGTATCAAAAACGCCGTCACACTTTAATGAGTAACGCACAAATAGATTATAATTTTTGTTTGGAAATCAATTCTTACTCGGGCTATATAATTTGTAACTAGATTTAAGAAAATTATGAAAACAATTTCTTTTATATGGGACTGGGGGGGGGGGGGCAAAATCGTCATTGCACCCCTCTTTCAGAAGAAAGGGGGGTGCACCTGCACCCTTGCACCCCCCCCTGGCTACGGGCCTGGTAGAGCCGAAGATGTTGCAGCTAGCTGTCAATCACGTGACAAAAGCTGTCATCAGAGTTGGGTCGAAGATCGAGTCTTAAAGTTGGGTTTCAGGATTTATGGCTCGAGCTGAAGTTTTTAAATCGCGGACTCTGATAAAAAACTATCTCTCTCATTTTCCCAAATGTATTTTATATCACTTTAAAAGCTTCCTGTAAGTTAAATTTTCAATTGTTTAAAATCTTTTACAGAAGTTTACATAGATTTTACAATAATATTTACATTTCGCCATATTCAGAAGCTTAAAAAGAGGCTTATTCCAAATATTTCTTTGGCTTTTCTCAAATATTTTACGAAAAGTGTCACAATTTTTTTTTTGCTTCCCGTGTTTTTTTTTAATTTTCCGAATCAATTTTCATCGTATTTGAAAAACAATGTGTACTTAATGCTGTAACTATTTTTACTCGGGATTCACTTGTAAATCAGGCTTTCCCTTCTTTGCATGGAGGGTCACTTGAAATTATGCTGACATTCCCTTTAAGCTACCGGAAGTTGACTCTGCATGGAATGACAATTTTTAAAATCCCCCCCCCTCATTTCTGGAATCTTTTTAATCTTTTAATAAATTGAAGGTTTTCCTCGATTTTGCGAATCGTGATTGGTTTTTAGATTTATTAAAAACACAAATCATAAATCGTCCATTATACAAAAAGCCAAGAGACAAAGTTTTTTGCCGTGGAAGAGGAAATTGTTGTGGCTCATGGTTGGTGTAAGAAAAGAATTTTAAATGTGGAATGGAAGTTGAAATTGTTGTGGCTTATGTTCGTCCAGTTTTCCCTGTTCATTCAAGGATACAAATTTTAAGTTTTAACATAACCAGGTTTATGGCCTATTTCTTACAATGAGTTTTATTAGGACACAAGTTGAAAGACTGGGGTTTTAAGATCCCGTCATACACAGTGGTCGGCGTTTAAATCAATACAATGAAGACTAATTTTCTATTTAATTCATGACTTTTAGTTCTAACTAGTTTAAAAATAAACAAAGAGAATCTGTTTATTGCCACTTTTTTCATATTTATGTGAATCCATGCTGTTTAAACGATTGGTAGAAATTAATATCGAAAGTCGTCTTGATTGTATTGATATATACGACGAAGACTGCATCGAGAGAAAAAGTCGTGGAAATAAATAAAAAACTTTAAGCAACTTTCGTTTAGTCATGACGAGGATATTAATTGTCATTATTAAATTATTTTTGAGAAGAAATGGACAAAATCGCGGTTTAGAACTAACGTCCCCTGAAATCAGAAGGAATTTTAGAATTACAGTTTATTCTTTACTTCAGGGTTAAGGCCCCCATATGGCAGGACAAATTTATATTTTGTTGTGCATCATCATCTCACAGTTTTCTCACTGTTTGCGGCATTTAGCAGTTTATGCGCACAGCAGTATGTTTACACGTGATTACAATTCAAGTCTGGGTGTCCAATTAATATAAACACTATAGTCAAGAGAATGAATGATAGTCAAAAATACTATTTTATTGATTTCAAAGCTAGGCATTTTTTGTTGTTGCCTGAACCATGGAACTCTGAATCCCTGGAACTATGAATCCCTAGAACATAGAACCCTTGGAAATATGGAACCCTGAAACTATAGAATCCTGGAACTACGGAACCCTGGAACCCTGGAACTATGGAACTATGGATTCCTGGAACCCTGGAACCATGAAACTATGGAACCCTGGAACTATGGAACCCTTGAACCCTTGAACTATGGAACTCTGGAACCCTGTAACCATGGACCTATGGAACCCTGGAACCCTGTAACTATGGAACCCTGGAACCCTGGAACTATGGAACCCTGGAACTATGGAACCTTGAAACTACAGAACTATTGAACCTAAGAACTATGGATCTTGGAACTTTGGGACCCTGGAACCCGGAAACCATGGAACTATGGAACCCCGTAACTATAGAACCCTGGAATTATGAAACCTTTCAACTATGGAACCCAGGAACTATGGAACCCAGGAGCTATGGAACCCTGTAACTATGGAACCCTGGAACTATGGAACCCTAGAACTATGGAACCCTGGAACTATGGAACTCGGGAACCCTGGAACTATGGAACTCGGGAACCCTGGAACTATGAAACTCGGGAACCCTGAAATTATGGAACCCTGGATTTATTTAATCCCAGGAACCTTGGAACTATGAAACCCTAGAACCCGGAACTATGGAACCCTAGAACCATGGAACTTTATATAACACTGGAACCAAGGAACCCTGACTGGAACTATTGAATACTTGAACTATGGAACCCTGGAACCTTGGAACTACGAACCTTAGAACTATGGATCCCGGAACTTTGGAACTATCGATTTCTAAGTTCTTATCAAGTTTTCCATATTGCCGTTGTACAATCATTCCAACACTCATTTCCTTTCATATCAATTTAAATCTATGTTTAGTTTCAAGCCTACTACGTCTCAGAATAATTTAAAAATTATAATTTTACACAATACTTTTAAAATATGTCCTTTCTAGTTGAATGGTTACAAATCTTAAAAATTAATTTTAGATAAAAATAAGAAATCACCATGAAGTCTTTCATCTTCGTCTCTCTCCTTATGATTTCTGGTATGATTAAAGGGAGTGACCGGCTATTTAAGGTAGTTGAACTGAGTACGCAGTGTTGTGGAAAACTTCTTTCGGATTAATTTTTAGACATATTAAACCTTTAAAGATCTGAAAATCCTGAGTTTGAGCGCAAATTCGACGTTCAAAACTCCTACTTCGGGGGTGTATACGTTTTCAGAATTATTTTTTTAAATTAATAAATAGCGACGATATAAAATGTAAAAAAATTAAATAAACTACAGACGTCATGTATAGGAACATGTTGAGAAAAAAAAATTAATTTATCATCAAAAATAAGTTATCTTGTTCAATTATTAGTTTCTATTTTCTTATTATTCTGGTTACTAGTTATTCACAAAGATTTTCGCAGATTTTCTAGAATTATTATTGAAAAGACGACATTTGAAGAATTTGAAGAAATCTGCGAATAAATTCAAAGAAGATAAGAAATTCAATGTAATAATGAAAACGAAATAATCGATTTTAGCATTGATTTATTGACAAATTTCTTTTGAGAAATATGTTCTTAACCATCTAATCAGATTACTGTATAATTTTTACTTTATTTTTCGTTGTCGTTATTTAATAACAAGAAAAAACTAATTCTGAAAGCGTATACACCCCCAAAGTAGGAGTTTTAAACGTCGAATTTGCGCTCAAACTCAGGATTTACAGATCTTTAAAAAGTTTTAAAATATGTCCCAAATGAATCCGAAAGAAGTTTTCCACAACACTGCATACTCAGTTCAACTACCTTACATAGCCGGTCACTCCCTTTAAAAGTATTTTCTTATTAAAATTAAAGGGACTGTCGTTGCAATTTAAAAAAGGGAGCATTTCCGATTTACAATGGTACCCTTTGCACATTTATCTGATTAATCATGTAGAATTTATCTAATTTAATAAAACAAGACATTCGTTAATATATATGATGCCTATAGCCGGCTAAACGGCAGGACCGAATGGGCTGAAATTTTTTGTGGACACTCATGGAGTGATATAGGCTAAAAAAATCGAAAGTATTTATTTTAAATTTTTTTTCGAAATTGTTTTATTCCACGGGCAACGCCGGGGCCTTCAGCTAGTATCTAATGGATTCATACTTGATCAGGCAACGTTTTAGATTGTACCATTGTGTATCGGACTTAAACACCCCTTAATAACTTGAGGTTAGCTTTAAATTACGTCACCAGTCCCTTAAAAACATTCCATTTAATCTTCAGAAAACTCCAAAATATTCAAGAAATATTCAAAATATTTAGCAAAAATGGTGAGAAAATTATAAAGATTTGTTTTGAAACAAATTTTATATATTTTAGGTTCACTTGGTCTACAATGTTTCAAGACAAACTCTGGGAGCGGGTAAAGTATTATGAAAACAAAAATATCCCTGGTTCTTTGCTACCCAGAAATGTCGATAGATAACCTTTGATATTTCAAACTATCACATTGTTTCGATCAAATAAATCTCAGGAAAACATCGCGATTAGAAAATTTTAATTTGTGACAAAAGTTGAAGTTCCTTTCAACTACAGTTAAACCCTAAATAAACCATACATCGAAAGAATTCATCAAATGTCGTATTCTTCACTTTCTGATAATGGAATGTTGCAGATATTTAGTTTTTTAATTAAATGATTATATGGAGCTCTTTAAAACTGTTTCCGCATATTCATGGCTATTTACTCATTTTCGCAAATACTGAAATTTACGTAAAACGTATAATACCCGTTGAATAATTGTCAAGACGACATTGATAAAATTCTTTCGATGTATTGCTCATTTAGGGTTTAACTATAACATAGTTTGAAGTTGATAGTTTTAAATTTATTTTTTAATAAAATATTGAATGCGATGCGGCACAAATTCTATTTTGTTTTATTTTTTTTCTAATTTTTGAAAATATTGCTTCTTTTTTAAGCATTGGAAAATACTAACAAAATGATAATTTTGTAAAATTAAAGATATAAATATCTGTAACAGCAATCCCATTAAATAATTCTTTCAACGATCGAAAATAATTTTTTATGTTTTTTTTTTTGTATTTTCAGGAATATTGAAATAGAAGAATGTGCTGCTTCTAGGTACAAATAAAATATTCATTTTATCATTTCTTGATAAAAACATTTATTTAGAAAAAATATCTTACGGCCCGAAGATTTACGCTTTATAACTTTTTTTATTTTATTTTAAAATGTCAAGAAATGGATAAAAATCATTTGGAATGTTTTATCTAATTCTATGGCTTAATAAAAAAAAACATTTTACAGTTCTTCAGCAGTTTGTTTCAAGACGGTTTCTAACTCCGGAGAAAAAATGAAGGGATGTCGAGACAGACCTGAGTCAGGGGTAGGTAACCAGAAAATGTCAAACCGACGCGCACGAAAAACATATTTAAAAAAGACCCTGGATTCTGAAAACAAAACACTTCATATATTTTTGCAAAATGATGTCACTGCTCTTTGATATTTCCAAATACAAGTTCTACAAGATAAATAAAGGCAAAGATAACCAAAACTTGCAAAGATTTAAGAGTTAGAAATTTAAAGATTGAAATGTTCAGTTTCTTGTTGAATTTCCGAAATTTTGTCGTGCAACATCATCTGAAAAAAAAAATCGAAATTATTTTAAATTCTTGAAATTCTGGAGTCTTTTAAATTTTTTCTAAACCAAACAGTTCTTTTTTCTCAAGAAATTAAGTATTTGCGTGTTTTTATTTCCAGAAACTGTAGAATATGAAGACGACATTAATGTAATACTAAAGTGAATTTGATGTTGTTACAAATCAAATAACTTAATTAGTAAGTTATTAAATCACTTTTAAAGGAAACTAGGTCTTTTAACACTGCACAATTTCTGTACCTCATGGACATTGGACTATTTAAAGTTATAAGTTGAGTCTTAAAGTCGCCTTTATATTCCAGAGTTTTCTGGTTAAATCACTGTATAGATAATAAAGTTTGTAAAGATATTGGGATTAAAACCAGAGTTTGTGATTAATTCCTTTAGCATAGATTTAGTTAGAAATTCTTGATATAAAGGAATTTAGCCTTTAGACAAACTCAAATATTTAATTTTTATATCTTTACAACCTGTTTATAATAATTCATTGTTTGAAATATCTACGAAAGTCCACGATATTGGGCTGGATTAGAAAATAAGAATTTGTGGCAAAAAATCAATTCCTTTTGTAGATTTAGCTAGAAATGCTTGATATAAAATTGTAAATGTTTAAGTTTCTAGATACGTATCCGTGTTGGTGAAAACTACCAAAATCAAGGTTGCCAAACCCATTGTGAATTATTTGCCGACTCACACTATAAAACTTGTCCTTAAAAAGGTTACAAATTTCAAAAACATGGATTCCATAAAACTTACAGTGTACACTGAACTAAAGCTTATTTTGTTTTGGTTACAATACAACTTATACAGGTGTGTTTACAATACAGAAATTTGTTCAGGGGGCTTGAATTTGTTTCTCTCTAATCAGCTCAGCTCGGGTGGGGGGGGGGGGCCGAGCCACAAAGGCCCCTCCTCCTTTCGTTCATATGCATCTGACCAAAAATATACCGTACAGTGTACACTAGAAAACTAACATGTACTGCAATTTTGGGGTAAAATCAAAATAAAAGTATTTATAGTAAATCTCAGGCCAAGCTTTTTTTTACTAGTTCCGAAAACGTATCCACCCCCAAAGTAGGAGTTTTGAATTTGCGCTCAAACTCAGGATTTACAGATCTTTAAAAAGTTTAATATGACTCAAATGAATTCGAAAGAAGTTTTCCACAACACTACATACTCAGTTCAACTACCTTACATAGCCGGTCACTCCCTTTAAGTTCCAGAAAAGTAGGTGGACACAATTTTTTTGTTTTTATTCAGATGAAAACTTCTCAGAGCGGTTTGTTTGTTTACATTTTTGTCCCAAGGGACGTTAAGCTAAAAGACACTTCATTTAGTCTAATTGGTAAAGCATCCTAATATTGAATGTATTAAATGTCATCTTCTTACGAAGATTTTGTATCACGGGATGACATGATTTGTGCGAAGCTTTAAAAATTAGAGAAAAACAGTGTTTATAAAAAAGTTTTTTTTCAGTATGGTATGAACAAGTGTAAATGGTCAGGTAATTAAGATAAACGTTTTATAAATTTCCTATTTTTAACTTTTTCTCAGCTTTTTAAGTTTTCCTCAGCTTTTTAACTTTTCCTCAGCTTTTTAACTTTTCCTCCTTTTTAACTTTTCCTCAGCTTTTTAACTTTTCCTCAGCTTTTTCCTCAGCTTATTAACTTTTCCTCAGCTTATTAACTTTTCCTTAGCTTTTTAACTTTTCCTCAGCTTATTAACTTTTCCTCAGCTTTTTAAATTTTGTTTCTGACTATTTTAGACTTTTCCCTTTTCTTGGACTTTGTCCTACTCCTATAAACTTTTTTTGGACTTTTTTCATCTTTTTTAAAACTTTTCCATTATGAACTATGTCCGCCTCTTTTAAACTTTTTCCTTTTTTGGACTTAGTCCTCCTTTTTTAACTTTTCCTTTTTATGTACTTAGGTCTCCTCTTTCAAACTTTTTTTTTACTTTGTCCTCCACTTTTAATCTTTTCCTTTCTTTGTATTTTGTCATCTTCTTTTAAATTTTTTCCTTTCTTTGGACTTTGAAAAAATATATATATTTTCAGTGACTACACTTCCTGAGAGAGTACCTTCAGAAAATAGAGAGTTTGATCCTCCCATCAGCAGTGGCGGAGCAGGAGGTACTTTTTATGCCTTCAACTGAAAACTTTAGAATTGTGGATGTCGAGATCAATGCTTAATCTCTTCTTTTCAATAAACTTAAAGGGACTGTAAAGGAAAAATGAAAGGGGTATAGGCTAAAAGCTAATCACTTCAGCTCTTGTTTGCGACCCATGGAAACGTCATCTGAAGTTTCTCTCTAGAGAAATTGATTTAAAACTGTGTCAATAACCAGAAAGTTGTAGAATAGGAAGATGAAATTAAAGCAACATTGAAGTGCTTTTGATGTTGTTACAAAGCAAATAGCTTTACTAGTAAGTAATTGAATTACTCACTAAGTGAATTGGGTCTGTTTACACTGCACAACTACGGTGTCACATGTTCATTGGACTATTAAAACTTATAACTTGAGACTAAAAGTCGACTTCCTATTCCAGAGTTTTCTGGTTATCACTGTAACATCCCAAGAATGCTTGCTAAAAATTTATATTCTTTCAGGCGACACCGATGATATTGCTATACGATGTCAATGCAACACAAACCTATGCAATGGGTCAACCTCACTGATCCCATCCAACCTTATTATCATGCTTATATTCTCATATATCGGCTTTGTCTGCATGAAATAATTATAGAAGCTGTAACTTTTTATTCGATTTATTTATATTTAGAAATATTTTATATGTATAGGCTTGGCAAGATATCTAATACAGGGTTACCCACAAAGGATAAGACTTCATGAGACGATTGAATAAAACTGTCAATTTTCTTAATTTTATGATTCTCTGTCCCAGTAAACTGGTTTCTTTCTTATTGCTAAATTAGAAAGTAAGCCATTAAAATTTAAGTTAGAAAATTTGACTTAACCTAATTATATTTTAAGAGTTTCTAGTCTTCAACTTTACAATCTCATACTTTGTGAGTAACCCTGTACATCTATCTATTTTGTAATTAGAGCTGTGATCTTAATTAAACACTAAAAATATCCTAATCTATACCTTGCCTACGATGCTTGCTTTTTAGAATTCTGTAAAAATATATATGAGACGTACATTAATAAAGGATAAATTATCATTTTTATTTAAAAATATAAAAAAGAACATAAAACAACAGCTACTGATTATCAAAACCATGAATTGATTTTTTTCTAAAGTTATTCTATTGGGTTCATTTTTTTAAATACATACTTCATCTGCCGATCAAACTGATCAAGAGATCTATTAAACTAGTGATCTACTGATCAACTGGTCTACTGATCAACTGATCTACTGATCAACTGAACTACTGATCAACCGATCTACTGATCAACTGATCCACTGAAAAACCGGTCTACATACTGATCAACTGTTCCACTGATACACTGATCTACTGATCAACTGATCTACTGATCAACTGATCTTCAGATCAACTGATCTTCAGATCAACTGATCTGCAGATCAACTGATCTGCAGATCAACTGATCTGCAGATCAACTGATCGATTGATCTGCTAATCTACTGATCTGTTAAACTATTTATCTGTTGATCTGTACTGATCAAATGATCTATTTGTCCATTAGTCTATTAACCCATTAATCTATTTATCCATTGATCTAATGATCTATTGATCAACTGATCTGGTCATCTTCTTATTCACTGATATGTTGATTTGTTGATCTACTGATCTGTTGATTTACTAATCTGTTGATCTACTGATCTGTTGATCTACTGATCTGTTGATCTACTGATCTGTTGATCTACTGATCTGTTGATCTACTGATCTGTTGATCTACTGATCAACTGATATGATGATCTGTTGATATACTGATCGACAGATCAACTAATCAATTGATTGATCTCTTGAAGTAATCATCTATACGACAGGTCTGCCTCCTGTTTCTAGTTCTCCTGAAAGAGCTTTCAACATATCCGGGTATATATCTACAGCACTACGGTCAGCATCAACCTGGATATTTAATCAATTAACCAATTATATCGGGGTAGATATCTACAGCACTACTGTCAGCATCAACCTGGATATTTAATCAATTAATCAATCATATCGGGGTATATATCTACAGCACTACGGTCAGCATCAACCTGGATATTCAATCAATTAACCAATTATATCGGGGTAGATATCTACAGCACTACGGTCAGCATCAACTTGGATATTTAATCAATTAATCAATTATATCGGGGTATATATTTACAGCACTACGGTCAGCATCAACCTGGATATTTAATCAATTAATCAATTATATCGGGGTAGATATCTACAGCACTACGGTCAGCTTCAACCTGGATATTTAATCAATTAATCAATCATATCGGGGTATATATTTACAGCACTACGGTCAGCATCAACCTGGATATTTAATCAATTAATCAATTATATCGGGGTATATATCTACAGCACTACGGTCAGCATCAACCTGGATATTTAATCAATTAATCAATCATATCGGGGTATATATTTACAGCACTACGGTCAGCATCAACCTGGATATTTAATCAATTAATCAATTATATCGGGGTATATATCTACAGCACTACGGTCAGCATCAACCTGGATATTTAATCAATTAATCAATTATATCAGGGTAGATATCTACAGCACTTCAGTCAGCATCAACCAGGATATTGAATCAATTAATTAATTATATCCGGGTATATATCTACAGCACTAAAGTCAACATCAACCTAGATATTCAATAAGTTAATCAATTATATCCGGGTATTATTCTACAACACTTAGGTCAGAATCAACCTGGATATTAAATCAAACAAACAATCAATTATTTATATTTGGAAGAAAAAGTTTGATGGCGCGATTTTTTATCACCTTTGCTGCCAATCAAGCGATTTTTTTTGATTTTTTACCTGTTACCTGGTAATCACCAACCAATCAAACAAATCAAAGGACTGCTGTGGTAAGTTAAACAATTTAAGAATTAAAAGAATTAAACACTTTTCAAGATATTTATCAAATAAATGTTTATATTTCTTTTTTAACTCAAAAGTTTGATTGAGATATTTAACTGATTTAAAGTTTTAAAGAATTTAAAAAAAGGGTAATAACAGGTCCACCGACTGTGCTACCTTGACTGTTTTATTGCAGTATTTCTCTAAAACTGGAACAGTTTTCTCCTCGTATAGTTTAACCCTCTTTAGAACGGTTTCTGGTTTATCGTCGAAATTACCCCGGCGGGTTAGCCGGTCAACCATAGTATCTGTACTAAGGTCCAGGTGGATTATTCTAGAAGTACATAGTTGCTAATCAGTTGATTATAGTGTACTCAAGTACATGTGGATTATTCTAGAAGTACATAGTTGTTAGCCAGTTAATTATAGTACGTACTCAAGTACAGGTGGATTATTCTAGAACATAGTTGTTAATCAGTTAATTATAGTGTACTCAAGTACATGTAGATTATTCTAGAAGTACATAGTTGTTAATCAGTTAATTATAGTGTACTCAGGTCCATGTGGATTATTCTAGAACATAGTTGTTAATCAGTTAATTATAGAGTACTCAAGTACATGTGGATTATTCTAGAAGTACATAGTTGTTAATCAAGGTACCCATTGGTTTTCTCAAAAAATTCAGTAAATTCGGTCCAGCCGCTTCGCCAACTATTGCTAACTTAAAAATGTATATGAGTTAAGAGCTTTATTATAAACTAACTTTAGAACCAAGCTTTGCCTGGAATAAAAGTTAAAAATTAAAACTAAAAGCTGAGAACATTTCTCTAGTTTTAACGAGTTTCCCAATAAAAATTTCCCAATACAAACACCCGAACAGAGATTACTACTAAATATAATAATTCTCTTCGCCCATATATTTTTGTTTTAAATAGGTTAGTTATAGGTGGCTAAACGGCTGAACCGAATGGGCTGAAATATTTTTAGGACATCCTTGAGTATCTGGCTAAAAAATTTCGATTTTTTTCAAAACCTTTTTTTGGTGAAAAATATTTTTTTTTTCAAAATTGGATTTTAAAAAATACCTTGTGACGGGAACAACTTGCTTCTCAAATTTCTCTGCTTCCTCCAGATCCAAGGGATATCCGTCAATAAGGAATCCACTACTTCCGGTCACTTTGGACGCCATTGCCTGAATTTAAAAGAACCGTAGGATTAATTTCAAGTGACCCTCCACAAAGATGGCAATGCGCAATCCAAAACCTTTATGTAATCAATAATAAGGAATTGAGTCTTTGCCTCAACATCATATTTTTAACCCCTATACATTTGCATTCTTATGATATTTCAAGCTTTTATCTAACAGAATTTATAGTTTAAAATGTCTAAAATCTACGTCATGGTCATCAGCTAGGTTGCCAAGACATAGGGATTAGACAATCAGAGTTCTTAGAAAATATTCAATTCTTCTTTACAGTTCAGTTGTAGACTTTTACATCAATACAATGATGTCAACCTTTTATTATTTCCGGTTTTTTATCAAACTTTGAAAACAAAATTAAATTTCCTACTTCGGAGAGAAGATCCAGGACAACCTCTACAGGAACAAGCTCTCCCATTTCCATCAGTTTATAGAGTTGTAAACCTCTCTTAGATCCAGACATAACTTCATGTCTTAGCAGTTCTCCTAAACATACATTATTCAGCTATAAACCTCTCTTAGAGCCAGACATAACTTCATGTCTTAGCAGTTCTCCTAAACATACATTATACAGCTATAAACCTCTCTTAGATCCGGACATAACTTCATGTCTTAGCAGTTCTCATAAACATACATTATACAGCTATAAACCCGGTTTAGATCCTGGCATAACTTTATGCCTTAACAGTTCTCATAAACATACATTATACAGCTATAAACCTCTCTTAGATCCGGACATAACTTCATGTCTTAGCAGTTCTCATAAACATACATTATACAGCTATAAACCTCTCTTTGATCCGGACATAACTTAATGTCTTAGCAGTTGTCCTAAACATACATTATACAGCTATAAACCTCTCTTAGATCCGGACATAACTTCATGTCTTAGCAGTTCTCCTAAACATACATTATACAGCCATAGACCTCTCTTAGATCCTGACATAACCTTATGTCTTAGCAGTTCTCCTAAACATACATTATACAGCTGTAAACCCGGTTTAGATCCTGGCATAACTTTATGCCTTAACAGTTCTCATAAACATACATACATACAGCTATAAACCTCTCTTAGATCCTGACATAACTTTATGTCTTAGCAGTTCTTATAAAAATAAATTATACAGCTATAAACCTCTCTTAGATCCAGACATAACTTCAATTCTTTGCAGTTCTCCTAAACATACATTATACTGCTATAAACCTCTCTTAGATCCGGACATAACTTCATGTCTTAGCAGTTCTCCTAAACATACATTATACAGCTATAAACCTCTCTCAGATCTGGACATAACGTCATGTCGTAGCAGTTCTCCTAAACATACATTATACAGCTATAAACCTCTCTTAGATCCGGACATAACTTCATGTCTTAGCAATTTTCCTAAACATACATAATAGAGCTATAAACCTCTCTTAGATCCGGGCATAACTCCATGTCTTAGCAGTTCTCCTAAACATATATTATACAGCTATAAACCTCTCTTAGATCTAGACATAACTTCATGTCTTAGCTGTTCTCCTAAACATCTCTTAGATCCAGACATAAGTTTATGTCTTAGGAGTTCTCCTAAACATACATTACACAGCTATAAACTTCTCTTAGATCCGGACATAACTTCATGTCTTAGCAGTTCTCCTAAACATACATTATACAGCCATAGACATCTCTTAGATCCTGACATAACTTTATGTCTTAGCAGTTCTCCTAAACATAAATTATACAGCTATAAGCCTCTCTTAGATCCAGACATAACTTCATGTCTTAGCAGTTCTCCTAAACATCTCTTAGATTCAGACATAAGTTCATGTCTTAGGAGTTCTCCTAAACATACATTACACAGCTATAAACTTCTCTTAGATCCAGACATAACTTTATGTCTTAGCAGTTCTCCTAAACATACATTTTACAGCCATAGAATTCTCTAAGATCCGGACATAACTTTATGTCTTAGCAGTTCTCCATAACACACATTATACAGAAATAGACCTCTCTTAGATCCAGACATAACTTTAGGTCTTTGCCGTTCTCCTAAACATACATTATTCAGCTATAAACCTAGCTTAGAGCCTGGCGTAACTTCATGTTTTATCAGTTCTCGTAAACATACATTATACAGCTATAAACCTAACTTAGAGCCTGGCATAACTTCATGTCTTAGCAGTTGTCCTAAACATACATTATACAGCTATAAACCTAGTTTAGAGCCTGGCATAACTTCATGTCTTAGCAGTTCTCCTGAACATACATTTTACAGCTATAAACCTAGTTTAGAGCCTGGCATAACTTCATGTCTTAGCAGTTCTCCTAAACATACATTTTACAGCTATAAACCTAGTTTAGAGCCTGGCATAACTTCATGTCTTAGCAGTTCTCCTGAACATACATTTTACAGCTATAAACCTATCTTAGATCCAGACATAACTTCATGTCTTAGCAGTTCTCCTAAACATACATACATACAGTATATACTCCGTTTTCTGATGTTTAGCACTGATTTGAGGATTCATCTCGTATTGGAGGATGAGACAGATGTTTAGAAAGATAAATATGGTACCACAGTTGCAATCTCTATTGGTTCTGAAGGCTTGCCATGAAGAATGTGCCTAATCTGACCAGAGGCTACCAGATACACAGACTAGATATGCACAGATTGCCCATAAGCTCTCATTGGATAGGCTAATCAGGCCTATAGTTGTCCCGGCACGACATTTCCACAAAAGGTGTTTGACTACCATATAACGGCCACTTGTTGCATTAATACACATTCAAGGGTAAAGTTTTTTACAATTTTTAAAGATAAAACATGATATTTATGAATTTAGTTTATTTTTGAAGGTTTTGTATTTTGTATCCAAAGGATATCCTTAAATATCCCTGAATACAGACGTCTGTTTATTGGTAGTGTACTCTAGTTGTACATAATGGAACCCTCTGTAGAAAATATCGCGTTTTCTAACCTTTTATAGTTTTCTGAACTCTCTTATCTCCGACCAGAAATGTTAAACTAGGGATGTGCTTTACCTGCTGCAAGATGAACGTATCCGTATTTAGCTCGGAGATGATCACACTGGGTTCCTTTACCACAGCCTGGTCCTCCAATAACCCATACTACTGGCAGTCCGGACTCTTTCACCTTAATTAAAGGGTGTGTCCGGTTAGACATGCAAGTTGAGCTGAGAGTGCAGTATTGCTTTTACGGTGTATAATTATGTAGAATTTCCTGGATTGTCAAACCCGGCAGGAAGATTTGATCTGCCACAACATGCCGGGCCCGTACACCTGCTCGGCTGGCTGGCCCAGCACTACTACCTGACTGGTTGTGGCGCTGCATGCCTCCCCGGCTGGCTGGCCAGCACCACTATCTGGCTGGTTGTGGCGCTGCACGCCTGCCTGGGGGGTTGGACAATTATGCCTTACAAACGTCTTATAGGTCTCAAATGATTTCTAGTAAAATGTTTCTCTACAATACTGCATTTTCAGCTCAACAACCATGTCTAGCCAGACACTCCCTTTAAATAGTCTCATCACGAAAAGTAAAAATAAAAAAATTAATGACATTTTTCTTCATGTGTAGCTCATAGAAATTGGAAATTTTTACACTTATGGTGAATTCTTTAGCTCTTAGAAAAGACAGTTGTCAAAAACTTTAAGGTGTTTAAAATTTTGAATATCACAAACTTGTCGTTTATTCTTTTTTAAACTTTATTCTAAAGACAAACTCCCAGACCAGTAAAACCAAGGTTATAATGCAAGGAAAGTTAATTGCGGTCGCGTATACTCTGCGTACATATTGAAACCTGTTCTCTCTGGGCGGAATTTGTAAACAAAAATAGATATTCGTCCAGTATACGAGGAAGATAAAAGCATTAAATTTTGATAATTTTGAAAATTCACATAATAGTTTCAAATGACAAGAATATTTCATAGACTTTTTTTGTGAAAATGGATTCCATGTCAGGCTGTGACATCCGTCTTGTGTTTACTTTTCCGCCCAAAGACAGTACACTGCAGTACAAAAAATACCTACACATCTGAAATAACCTTCCTTGCATTACATCCTTGAGTAGATTTATAAAATAAGAAGACGACCAGTAGCTCTATTTATTAATTAAACTGCACGATATTTTCTGAAAACCTACCTTGGTTAGATCAACTTGTTTCCTCTCAATCTCCATCTTTAAACCAGGTTATTATCTACAAATAGAATACAATATCTACCTAAACAATACAGTATCTACATAAACAATACAATATCTACCTAAACAATACAATATTTACCTAAACAATACAATATCTACCTAAACAATACAATATCTACCTAAACAATACAATATCTACCTAAACAATACAATATCAACCTAAACAATACAATATATCAACCTAAACAATACAAAATCATCATAAGCAATTTACAATATCTACATAAACAATACAATATCTACCTAAACACTAAAATATCTACATAAACAAGACAATATCTACCTAAACAATACAATATCTACCTAAACAATACAATATCAACCTAAACAATGAAATATCAACCTAAACAATACAATATCTACCTTAATAATACAACATCGTCATAAACAATACAATATTATCAATCTAGAAAATACAAAACAAAACAATATCAACCTAAACAATACAATATCTACCTTAACTGTCAATACAATATCTACCTAAACAGTATGATATCAACATAAACAATACAATACCAACCTAAATAATACAATTCACCTTAACAATACAATATCAACCTAAGCAATACAATAAAAAGCGCCGGCTTAACCCTATCCCCGCTGGGGTACTTGAAAACCAGGATACGCTGGGGGGGGTCAATTTGACCCCCCCCCCCTCTAAATCCCATGTTTTATGTCCAAATATGACAAATGATACATCATTAGAAAGCTCTTGTGCTCTACTTTTAGAATCTGCAAAAAAATTTGCAAATTTGTGAAAATTGAATTTTTTATCGCAAAATCCAGTTTTATAGTAAAAATGTTTGCAAAAAAAAATGTGTCCAAAAAATGACAAATTATACATTTTTGAAAAGCCCTTGACCATGCCATTTCAAATATGCAAAAATTTTTGCAAAATTTTAAATAACCTAATTTTTAATAAAGAAAAACTAAAAATGTGCAAATTTCCTTTGACAGGTTGTTTGCAAAAAATTTGCAATTTTTTTTTCGCAAAACTTGTGCAATCCGTTTCCTTATGTCATAGGCTTTCCAAAAAGCTAAATTTTATCAAAATCTGACAAGTGAAAGTGGGTCAAAACAAAGATTTAGTTTGCTACAGGCAAAAGCAGTCATTCAGGCAGTGTGCCTGAGGACTCAGGAAGTTAGTATTAAAGCCCGGTTTTAGGCCTAAAGGGAGGGCTTTGGGTATGTAAGAAAAGTCAGAAAATTTCAACAGCCTCAGACCAATACTTTTTGAGTTATGTAAAAAAAACTACAGGGGGGGGTCAAATTGACCCCCCCCCCCCCCAGCGGGAATAGGGTTAATAACACATTTAATACAATTTCAAATGGAACATCTTCAGATTTGGCCTCAGAATTTGGCCTCAGAATTTCTAAAGTGATGAATATTTAGAACCCCGGTCCTCAACCTACCTGATATAACAGGGTACGTTGCTTGACTGTGACAATGCAAAGTAGACGATACATTATATAAATTAGCTTACCTCGGTCAAAGGATTAGTCTACTTTCCTTTTAAGCCTCTTCCTTTCCCTTTAAACCTATCGGAGGATTTCCCTAATGCTAAATTATTTGCAAATATAACAATTTATTTATTTGCCACAAATACATAAAAGAATACAAAGCTGTAAAAAAAGTGCATAACTAATTTTATAGAAGTTAGCCAGAACAACAATCACACTGCAGAATTGAGGTTGGGGAGGAGGAATTTGACCAGCATGCATGAGGGGAATATATCTATTTATGAACAAAATCTTTATTTCAATCTATTCACAACGATATAGCTAGAGGGCTTTTTAAAGAAGTGGAGTCTTTGCCACAAACTCTGATTTTTTAATTGCTATATCTTAGCGACCCAATTGCGTAGAACTTTGATTTTTTTAAACTATCTAGTCTAGTCTAGGGTTGTATATATTATAGGTTTTCAGCAACAGGTTGCAAAATTATTATGTTGATTTGAAAATTTTAGTTTGTTGCAAAGACTCAACTCCTTAAAATAAAATTTATTGTTTGTTTTCAAACTTTGACAACAAGTCTACAACTAAGTCTAATGAAAGATTTCATGCTGAATTTCCTAAAAAAAATAGTTAATAGTTGTTGCAAACTCTAAATTATGATTTTATGATTATGAGGAGACCAAAATCTTATTTTATTGTTTTATAATGAATTATAATATAGACGAAAAGAAAGAGCAACAATTAAGTTGCCTTGAAAGCCTCGTCTAAATATACCATAGCGAAAAGCTTTATTAGTTTTGATGCTTGTAAAACACTTGGCCTAAAATTAAATGAAATTAAATTATAAATTGTTTCGGCATAACTAAACCAAAGAAGTAATATAATAAATTATTTTGGAAATTTTTATGTCAATCTTTATGTGGGAAGGGGGGGGGGGAGGGGGGTATAATTAAAAAATTAACAAAAGGGGAATGGGCACATAAACCCTCAAATGACACACATTTTCAAGGGGGTTTCACGCCTTCAATTTTTTGGAGCTGTTTTCTCGAGATTTTGCATGAAGGTTAGAATAGTGATTAATGCTAGAAATGTACTATCAAAATGTAAACAATAAAAAAATAAAAAACATTTTTCACACATTTTCCTCGTTTTTTTAAAAAAATAGGCTTTCTTGATTTTAGTTACAAATTGGGCCATTTTCCCCTCAAAAATTAATTTGAATTAATATCTTCAGTTTTTCATCCAAATCATAATTGTGATTATCTATCTGGACAAAAAATTAAAAAGAACCTGTCAAATCATTCGTTGGGATGTTTAGAAAGATGAAAATTTCCCTGTATGATAATTGAAGGACTGCAGTATGGTTTTGGTGAATTAATTCACCAAAACCATACTGCAGTCCTTAAATTATCATACAGGGAAATTTTCATCTTTCTAAACATCCCAACGAATGATTTGACAGGTTCTTTGAAAAACAAAATTTCCCGGATTTTAACATTTTTTTGGCCCCGATCTAGCCTAATTACCAACAACAGGGTTTATAGGCAAAATGTCTTTAATTTTAAATGCTTATGATACAGTGATAACCAGAAAACTCTGTAATAGGAAGACGACTTTATAGCAATATTTAAGTGTATTTGATGTTTTTAAAAAGAAAGTAGTTTTTCAAGACAATTATTAAATCACAAATAAAATTAAGAGTCTGTTTACACTGCACAATTGTCGTATCCCATGAATATTGGACTATTCAAAGTTATAAGTTAAGTTTAAAAGGCGTCTTCCTATTCCAGAGTTCTCTGGTTATCGCTGTAGAAAAATGCAGCGTTAATTTAAGATTTTAAAGACGTCATGGCATCTATTATAACTTAAACATATTAAGAGTCACGGAAGTTCGTAGTAAGATTTTGATTCCACTGGAGACCACCGGAGGGAATTCTTTTTCACTGGAGGGGTTTGAAAAAACGCTTTTTACAATTCAAAACTTTACGCAGGGCGATTTACATTCCACTGGAGGGATTCAGATGTCCTTCCCGGGGGCTTATAATTCCACTGGAGGGATTCAGTTATCCTTCCTTGGGGTTTATAATTCCACTGGAGGGATTCAG